GCGAATACGAAACTAACATTTCACCCGAACTGCGATCCCTGGACATCGCGATCTGCAGTCGAGTGTCATATAGCCACTAAAACCAAGAGGTAGTGTGTATAATGATAATAAACATAACTGAAATATTGAAAAGGCGATAGAAACGAAGTCTTTGTAAGCCGAATGCAGACAGTATCGGCAAATGAGTCACGATATAATTATTCCGAACACGAATCGCGTTCATTTTATTCATCAAATGGTATGTAAAAGTAATGAAAATTCTTATGGGTATAATGTAGGAAATAATCACAAGATAAATTTCACTAATTTGTCTCTAATTTTGTATCTCGAGACTAACAGAAGTCCACACAATAGAGGCAGAGTAACCTATCTGCAATTTTATGACTTGAATTATTTTTATTTTCATAACTAAAATTTTAATCTACAAGAGCACAGTGACCGAAAATATTTAACATACTTACACAAATTATAGTACAAATTCATTTTCGCCTAAGTTAATTGCGCATTTTTATTTTCCTCCTTATTGAAAAACATGTTTTTTTGTTATTAGTCCACTCTGCCTCTTGCTGCCTCATATAGGTATGTTTCTATTTCTTTAGAATAAATTCAGTCTCTTTGTGGTTACGTTTGGTATATACTCGTCAAAGCAATAATGAAATTAATTATTTTTCCAACCAAAAAACAATCTTTTTCTTTTTATAATATACTTTTTAAATGTCTTCAAAATGATTATTTCTTTTCTTAATAATAATTAGTTGTCTCAAATTCCACTCAAAAACAGCTCAGAGATACAAACGGGCGTAAATCGATTAAATTTCAAGTTTTAATAGGTAGATAAATTACTAATTTGCTAGAATCAAAAACCGGTTTGCGATATTTGAAAGGAAATTGCCTCGTCGTAGGGTTGTAATATAAGAAAAATTGACTATTACTCAGTAATTATTTTTCTTAATTACTCCTATAGGTAATTATTTTACCAAAAAAATATCGATCTAAACTTTATATCAATTCAACAGGCTAAATAAAAAAAAAACAATTCAATGTAATATTTAATTATAACTAGAGCATACAACCCTATTCCTTATAAAGCTAAAACTGGTAAAGGTAGGCATAATTTAGAGATAATAAAAGATTTAATAAACAGAATATGTCGTGAACTGACATTTAAAATGAACGAAGAATTAACATCGACAAAAAAGGTTTTAGTTCTCCTTAGTAGATCACGAAATATTATATATAAAACAATAAAAGCCATCTACCCTCCAATAACATACATAACATTCCTAGTTCTAAACACTCGAGGACGGTTTAGTTTAAAAATACATGCCAATAGTTAATTAAACATCCTTTTTAATATTTACTGTAACTGTGTCGACATCAAATGCATTCTAATAAATTGTAATAATAACCGAAAAACCTCGATAAATTGATAACAAAGACATAAGATTACCTGATAAAGACTTCAGTGTGCCGGTTGAGTCACTCAAGCACTTTTTCACTAGGTTTTCAACTTTGAAAACAGTATTTTACGGTTGAATGCGGTGCCACACCTCACAGCACTTTCAAACCGGTTTTTGAACGGACACGTAAAAGTAGTTTGGTAAGGTGACGGAGAACGCGTGTATACCTCCCGCGAACGTTACCGATGCACTGACGTTACGAAAAGTTACGCTGTGTTGCCAGACTACAGACTTTACTCTGCACTCGCTGTTTGCAAAACTGCCGTCTATGTTAACGTTATCAGAAGGAATTACTTTATATAATTTGGAATAAAACATCTTATTCTTATTTTGGTATTGTAAACTGCTATACTTTGAACTAGTATCTATAAAATGGAAATATATATTCAAGATGCATTTGTTAAATATCACATGTTTATTAATCATAAGCTATTAATCAAGAGCTAAATGAGAACCATTAAATATACAAATCTAGACTACCCTATAAATAACAAAAATAAAGAAACATTTCAATTTTATTATACTTTTTTAAAATTACCAATGCCAAGGTAAAAGGTATTCGTATTTGTTGAATTAAGAAGAATTAAGAAGGTATTTATTGAACCCATTTAAAATTATTTATTAAAAACCAATTGCACTTCTTTACAAAATGGTTATGTGTACAAAGTGTTAATACAATCTCTCAAAATGAATTTAGACAAAATAGGGATTTATCTGTATCTAAATAAAAACTATAGATGTACTTTTCATTAAATCTAACCTCTTTCAATTTATAGTTAAAACTTGCATTAAGTTTACTTAAATGGTTAAAAATTGAACGCTGGTATACCTAAAACACAACTTTCATCGTCCCTTCGGCTTCCATCGGGAGCGTTCGTCGACACTCGGCTTTTGCTTACAACCAAACGCTTGCAAAACAAAAGTGGAGCGTCTTTTGTAAAATATCACGCTTTTGTATCGTAGTTTTATTTAAATTTAATGAGGATAGAGTATGCTCGATAGAAAAGGGAGTTTTTTGAATGGTCCTCTTTGAATTGCGACGTACCGAAAGGCGCGCTATTCCAAATTTTAAACCGCGTAACGGCAAAGACAATGGAGGATCCACGGCCTGTCATATTTTTTTTTATCGAATTTAATTTATGGCACCGTTTAGTAAAACCAAGACTACATCTTAAATGAATTTACCTAAATATAATGTTTTATTTAAGGCTTAATAAAACTCTAAAACAAATAAATTTTAATTTGTGAAATAAGTAAATGTATATAAATTCTGAATTTAATATTTGATTAATAACATCATCGATTGACAAAGGAAATAATAAATAGAAAGTCACTAATTTATAACTTTCAGTGCACTTAAAACTAATTAATAATTCAATTTACACGTGCAATTTTTCTTTGTGTGCCAAAACCTGATTTGATTTTAAATTCGCCGACAATCGACAGGTAGATACTAAGACAACGTAAGTAGGTATGTACAAAATAATAATTAGGAGAAATAATTCCAAACTATTTCACAATAGAAATATTTAAGGACACATATGTAAAGTAAAATTGTCTCCATTATTTTTAAAACAAATAGTTTGCCAACGTATTCAATAAAATGTAAAAATTCAAAGTTCGAGCTGATATCAGCAAAGTTGGACATTCAACTTATGGTGTAAAACTTACGTAATTTCAGTAGAGACTCTTTTGTATTACTAAAAGATCAATTTTAAAAGTTTAGAGGTCTTGGGTACATTTTACACAATAGAAGTAACAAATACGAAAGGAATTTTATTATTTATTTAACTCTTTCACGCTCAACGGAAATATTTTTCCCTTCCACAAAAATCGCTATAGATTATTCAATCTTTTTTAATGACTATCAAAATAATACGTATGAAATTGCTGCAGCTTTTCTACTTTAGACCCAAAATCGCTAAAATATTATGTTGTATTCTCATATTTAGTCGGCCATCTTCTGGTCCTTAAGGGTTAAGACGTGAAATATATTCGGATGCTTTGCAGCAACCGTGGTCGCGGTGGGAGTTCCTCCATGAAGGTTATATTTTGTGTTTTAAACCCTTGAAAGTGGTTTATATAAATGTATACTTACTACTCGCGTAAACAACAGGAATACTTAATAGTTTTCTTGGTTGAGCAGTTTAAAACTGTTTATTCGTAATTGAAAGCAGTAATTTATGCTTTTATTTTTCTACCTCAAACCTTACTGTAGAATGACAGTTCCGATTTATTTATTTTTTTCAATTTAAACAATGCTGTGTTTTATTTGGAGGAACCAATCGAAGGCCGGGTGATCAGTCCACACCTGTGTTGACCAATTCATCCATTTTTTTATATAATAATATAAATTATTAATAATTTTGCGACAGCCTAAGCTCTTAAGTATTAACCAATTCTTAACACTAAGTTCTTCAGCAGAATAAACATATACCCTGGAATGATTATGGTACAGTAAACTGCTTGAATATATATCTTATACAAAATTGCAACCTTCGTGTAAATTGGTTCTCTAGGTATCACTAGTTTATGGTTCTGTTAGTCACTTATGACTAACAATCATTTTAATCCTAATCGTAATGACGCAAAGTTAATCACCAGTTTGCGGCAAGTCTATGCAACATCATAGTTTTTCAATGTTATGGTTCTGACTCACGATTGCATTAATGCATTATTTAATTGATAAGAATGCATTCATAAAAACATACTAGGAACATATGAGGCCGCTAGAAGCAGATTAATCTAACGCAATTTTATGACTTGAGTTATTTATATTTTCATAGTTTGAAAATGTTAATCTACACGAGCACAGTGATTAAAATTTGTTAACATAATTGTTATACAAATAATAGTACCAATTCATTTTCGCCTAAGGTATTTGCGGTGTAGAGCTAGTAGTAGAGGCCACTTTGCCTCTAGCAGCCTAAAATTAATATGCCTTTAAATTCCCATTATTAGTTGCTATTGATTTTAAAGCCTTGTTGGGCTAGTGGTATACGGATTGTAAATTTGATTGGCAGATTTTTATAAGTACATGAAAATGTTCGGGGCTTCCGGCAAAGGAAAATTTGACGAATCCTAAAGTTGGTAGACTATATTTTTTTTATTTTTTTTTGGGGACAGCGATAGAGGCCGGGTGATCGGCCCGCACCATCCGTCAATCAAATTTCACCCATTTAAGGATTGTACCTTAAGCTTAAGATTTACTTAAATTGTAAGGTTCAAGATGTGAGAAGTTAAACAAGTAATTTGTAACATAAATTTATTTAAAGATTGTTTCATCTGACAAAAATAATAAAAGACATCTATTCAATAAAAATACATTTAACGACTTAATCTAGCAGATGGACATCTGATTTTAGAGTTTGTTTTATAACATCGTATGATACAGTTGTAAACATTCAAATACACTTTAATAAAAAAATCTCAAATAAATAATCAATCTTATTTTATTTAGACATTGACAAAATACTAAATGTATATTTTACTAGCAAAATGAGCATTTCCCCCTAAATTTTTTCTAATGCAATGCTTTTTCTAAATATCCTCAGATGTCTGCAGAGTTATAAGGCCCTGGTACTCCATCTCCTTGTACATGATGTCTTGATTAAGGGTGTGTAAGTTTTCTTGAAATCTCTGCCGTAAAGCCTGATTTTCCATTCCCGCTATCTCATTCTGAGTTCTTTGTCGTCTCTGTTTAAGCTCATCAAGTTCAGCTTTGAGCTGTTCGATACGTAGGGTCATATTATCTTTATCACGAGAGTCCTCATCAAAATATTCAGTTTGGGGAGGTTCATTATGCTTAAATGTTTGTGGTTCAAATTCTGACATAAATGATTTCTGGTCCATGCTGAGCACTGTGTTCTCTGATGATAAGCGACTGTACGGTGACATTGTAACCATTTCCATGGCCATTGATTCATCTTCTTGATCACTGTCACTGACAGCACCACCAAATATATCAACAACATTAGATGTAGCCTGTTTCGTGATTACTGGCTTAGCTTCCTTCTTAGGTGCTGCTTTTTTACGTTCCTTCGGTTTGGGTGTAGTCTCGGACTTGGGATGATCTTCATCTTCTTTAATCACTTCCCATGTCACACTTACCGCTTCATTATCAGCCCTTAAAAGGCGTTTAACTTCCTTCTCTATTTCAGGAGCTTCTACATATTTCTTTTTTAAAGTTTTTCTGAAGCGGCGTTTCCTCACATTTTTTGTGGGCGGTGTTACACCATGGGGATAAAGAAACTTTTTATCCACTTTGTATGGATCTTTTTTCTTTATTTTGCAAGGTGATTCTTCTTCAAATGGTTCCGCTTCTTCTTTGCAAATCATTATTTGGCAAATATCCGCTGTTTTATAGAAACTTTTGTTATCAATGGTTTTAAGCGACTCTATTATCGTGGGTAAGTCTAGGATCTTGGCGTGCATGAGCCAGTGGTCAAATCTTACTTCACCGGTTCTTACATCGTTGTCCATTTGAATTGTAAGGCGATTTTTGAGATTTTCTCCCGATTTTAGGACTTCGCGTAACACTTTCGCTGTTTCTTCTGGAAGTCGTAAGATGAATTGTGACTCCAATTCTACGGGATATTCTGGTTCCCTCTTATCTTTATTCATTCTGGTAGTATTTCTGATAAATATAATACGTACCAAAAGTACTATAATGTAACGAAGATTTCTGACCTTTGTTTATAAACTATACAAAGATTTTGTATGTATTGTAGATCACCGAGAGGTAAAAATTACGTCAACTGCTAAGTTGTCATTGTCAATTTTTAAAAGCTTTGGGGTAGTTAAAAGGGCATCGCCATATATTAATAAAAAAATATATTAAGAACTAAGATACATATGTACTAAGCAATAGCACCACTTCTAAAATTTTGTCTTAATTTCGCTTTTCCTTCGCAAAACAAAACTACACATTCCTTCTGTCACTGAATTTTCAGCTTTGTCATCACTGTTTGTCAAGTTGTGTCAATGTCTTTCTACTACAACCATTAAACTTTTATTTTGTATTTTGTTGTGAGTAGCTGTGTATTTTGTTTATTATTTTAAAGAGAAAGTATTACCCGTACAAAATTAACAATTATAGACACTTAAACAAACCCAGAATGTGGTAAAGACCATCTTTAATGTAAGTATATAAAAGTACTATTTATTACTAATTTCCGGCCTACCAACAGATAAATTACTCTGGCTTCTCTCCCCATAAGATAGAATTACACGTTATGTTAATAGGTTTTAACTCATACGCGATCCGCATTCCATCTCATTTACTAATTCGTCGTTTCTAACAAAAATATTTAAATAAATTGTACGTTTTTCACTACTTGTCAGTTCTGTGTATTTAAATAAGGAAGCTATTGTATAGTTCATTAACACTTAGCAGAACTAGCATTGACATTAAAAATTTCTGTTATTATTTCATATATATACAAAACCAATAAACACAGAGATAACAATAAAAAAATATTTTACGTATAGTATCTATCAAATTATTACTAATCGACGTATAATGTATAGATAGTACTCATATTGAACCTAGTACCTACTCAGAGGGGTTGTCTATATTTAATTTTCCATTACAGTTGAAGGATTATACATTGTGTACATTTTAAATTAGTCCATTTCACTATCCTTCTATATGCTTATAAACTGTTAACTGTTATCTAGGTCAACCAAATGAATTAAATGTAATTTAATTTCTAATTTCAGAATAGACAATGGAGAAAGTAAGTACAGATACTTTGAGGTCGGCTGCATCCAAATGGAGTCTTGGTGGGGATAAACAGTTATTAGATTTATTGCAAGATTTTCACAAGGTACAATAATAATTATTAAACAAATATTTACTTTGCATATGTACATTTATATAATTCATCATGATGTCTATGCATATCTAGCCAAAACCTCTGCAAGGAGGAAATGGGTGAAATGGTCGGCTGATATCGTGGACTGATCACCCATCCTACCACAGGTGTCCCCGATAGAAAATAATAATAATAATCTCGATTTCAGAAAATTATAACCAAATGTTCAGAAACCAACACAAAACTTGATGAATTAGTTGGTTGCTTGGACACAGCCAGTATTGATCTTCAAAATGTGAACAATAAGTAAGTGGAAACATTTTCGTAAAGGATTAACCAATTGTACAATATTAAGATTATCTGTCTATACTTTTAATCTGTTTCTTGTAGGTTTATGTCACTAAGTAATACTCAATTTATTGAGAGGAGAGTTTATGATGACGATGTAGATGTTGCCCCACCAGTTACTCCTCCTAAGGTGAGGTTTATGTTAAAATTCTATGGCTTTGCAGAAACACCTACTCCAATATTATATATCCTTTCTTTCAAACCAGGAAACCCATAGACAGCCAGAATCAAAAGAAGATTTAGCAAAGCTACAGCAAAGTATAGAGGTCTTAGAGTCTATGCATGAAGTCGTTCAAATATTGGATTCAGACTCATCTGACGAAGATGATGAAGGAAGGTAATAAGCAATTCCTGTAACAGATAAAGTCAATAAACATAAGATGAAAAGATTTCCGTAAATGTAAAACGCGAGTAGTACATATTTGAATAAAACATTTTAACGTTTTAAAACGCGATATATTAGTTAAACTTATTTGAAAATGATTTTTACCTTTGGCCCGACGTTTCGGTCTCCCCGTGACCACGTCTGCTGCCAAGCATCCGAAATGTCGGGCCAAAGGTAAAAATCATTTTCAAATAAGTTTAACTAAATTAAGATAAAAATATGTGTAATTTAAATTTAGTCCAATATGATAATTACTAATCACTAGATTGTAGTATAAGCAATGGTGGTGGGTAGGTCCATTTTAAATTGAGTGAGAAAGAGAGATAGATATGGCTTCTATTTACATTGAACTTCTATGTATATGTGCTTTTAAATCTACCTCACACGTTATCAACTTATTTTTATTATTTTCTTTCAAGGATGGTCTTTAGACCGAAAGATGTGTATGCACATAGACCCTTGCCATATATAATTGGATCCGAAATGTGGAAGAAGAAATGGCATGCAGGTAGGCATTCTCTATTCATCATTTAAATTGCGATTTTGTTTACTTATTTATTTTTTATTTCACACTTACTTAGGTGCACAAAAACAAAAGATACAGATACACTATGCAATCTCTTTGAGGCAAACGATGCTTTCGAAGATGTTTTCTTATAAACAATTATGTGAAATATTTTTTAATGATATAAAAATCACATACCGCAACATTTTACTAATAAAACTTAATATTTGATTATAAAGAAAGACACATATTTTTATTTATTTTTTAATATTTTTTCTGATTGTGTCATGTGAGATATTTTTGTTGTAGGCTTAGTGGCTGAAGACAGCGACACAGATAGTACAGGTTCCAAGCCAGAACCGCAAGAGGAGTATTCAGATTCTGAACCTGAAGTCAGTGAGATACCGACGGATAAAATTATGCCAAAAGATGTTACGGTAAGCAATTCAATAGATATTATTTACATATATTAAAAAGTTACACAAGCCGACACTATTTTAGTTTGCTTTTCACTAATTATTAAATGGACTTTGCTCTCCTATGATAATGTTTCACAATTTTCAAAGATCTTAATCCAAAGCCAGTCACCCTTATTATTAGAAATTGAAAATGTTTTAAGGTGTCTACTACTTCTACAACAAGTATGGAGGCTAGTCTGAGTGTATCATCATCTAAGCCAGCCAAACCTGCGGACATAGCTGCGGAGTTAGCCAGACGACTCGGTGGTGATATGGTAAGAGTGATTTTATTTGTATATTGCAATAAGAAATGGACTAATGCAAATGTAATGTCATAAAACAATCAATGGGTCTGGGGTCTAAAATGTTTCTAATCGATTTATAATTTTTCTGAAACATTTTGGACTTCGTCTGGAAATCTGAATAGTCATTGGGTGGGTGGAATATCGAAATTTCGTCCGGGTTACAAACCACCGTCCACTTTTAGTTTTCACATCAAGTAAAGCTTGTCTGTCCTCCACTATTATGAAAAATAAATGTATTTATGTAATATACACTGATATTATTAAGAGGAAAGATTTATATTTTTGTGTGTATGTTTGTAATGAATGAACTACTGTACCGATTTGACATAATCTTTCACCATAAGTAAGATACATTCACCCTGAGTAACATAGACTATATTTCTAAGTGGTAAAGATTATGGATCCTTACAAGGACATTAGTACCGTAACCCACGGTACTATGTAATGTTTTTCTTTGCAAACTTAATTATAGTGCAAAATAAAGTACTACGATTTGAAGATCGTATAAATATCTACAAAAGATGTCTTGACAAAATATGTCTAACTGTAATAGTTGCGACACAATAACTTCTTTTCCGTTGTAGTGTTTCAAACTCAAATGTCACCTCAATAAATGCCATTATATTTATGACTGCTTCAATACGATTATATAAATTGAATTATCCAGTTTTAACAATCCATTCGAAAGATATCACCAATTTAAAAACGTAAGTTATGTGTTTGATAATATCCCGTGGTCGCCGCTATCAAAGCAACATCCTATATGGTATCAGAAGCATTCTGGTGTCATATAATATATATAGATATGAGAAATTATTGCTGTATGTTTTTTCTCCACTATGTAGTGGAATAACAATTCATAGGAACATTTAAATTCAAAATTTCAAACCAACTGTTTATAAATCGTATTTTATATTATATCTTGTTGTATTCATTACAACTGTAGCACTATCTGTAATCTATAATACATAGATGTCGTTATTATATTGCTTAAGTTTGAACTGATGTATATATTTTTTAGATACCCCCTCTACCCCCAATGGGCAATTCTCCACCAAAAACAACAGCCACAAAGGTGTATCGACCAGAACAACCACCTAGAGGTAATGTTTTTATTTTAACTTGTCGTTTTTTCCTCGTAACTCTGACTTATCCAACTCAATAGTAACATTTCTTTGTAGCTACTATATTTTTCAACGAACCACCTCCGTTGGACCGAGATTCAGAAAAAGAAGAGAGTGATACAGAAGATAATATTTTCGCCGAATTACACAGAAAGAGTTATACGCAAAATGAGAAGATTCGTCCGCCCACAAATGTTATTGATGAACTTTTTGGTCCTGTTGTTAGTCCGAAGGTATTTAATTTTATTTCTTGGTTAGTAATATAATATATTTGAAATTTTATTCCTATGCTTATATTTTTCCAGAAGCAAGATAACAAACGTAAATCTTTGTTAAGTGACGATTCTGAGCCAGAACTGTTTGCTGAAAAATCGAAGGAAAAAACACCTGGAACAACCAAGGATGCCAGTTTAAAGGTATTTCGTTCTCTACCGTATGTAATACAAAATCAATTATTTTTATTAGTGCTCTAATTTATTAATACATCTAACCCACAATGTAAACAAAATGTAAACTTCTATAAGTCTTTTAAAATAATTTATAAAATAAATTATTTCAGAAGCCAGTTGGAGGAATATCTATATTCGGATCGAATCAAGACTCCAACAGTATAGGAGCTGCCATCCTAAAACGCCATCAACCAAAGTCATCTGACGAAGAAAGCGAAACCGACAATTCATCAATACAAAAATCTGTTCAAGCTTCCAAGGAAGAAAATACCGTACTAGACCCTAAAAATACAGAAGCGTTCAATAACCCTGCAACAAGCAAAAATAATGTATTAGAGGATTTATTTACAAAACCAAAAACGAATAAGACTAAGAGTTTTACTAAAGTTTCTAATAACAAAGAAATTGAGTCTAAGAGAACCGAACAGAAAAAAATTGACCTATTTAGCGATGATTTATTTGATGATATAGATGATATTTTCACTAGCAATGTTATTACTAAGAAAGTAGATAGTCAGAAGTCGACCTTTGAGGATGACTTATTCTCTAATGTTGTTGCAGCTAAAAACCTAGCAAACGCTAAAAATGAAACATTGTTTGACAGCGAAGATGAACTTTTTACGAAGAAAGCAGTAACTGAAGAGAAAACACATCCAGTATCAAAGCCCCATTTAGATACAGTAAAAAAAGAATTATTTGTTGATACAGTAGACGACTTATTTAAGGAAAAAGTTGTAAATACATCAATGAGTACTAGTAATATTGCAGACAAGGGAGATTTGCCAATTAGAAAAGAAACCTCTGCTGAAAGTCTTGCGAGAACTAGGGACTCTGTATCAAGTATAAAACCTCCAATTGTGTCTAAAAATACAGAAATCGTCAGTAAAAAGACTAAAAGTATTTTTGATGATGACAGCGACGATGATCTTTTCAAAAGTAATGACATACCAAGCAACGAAAACAATTTAAATACTATCACGAAAAAAAATACAAGTCTTTTCGACGATGTTAGTGACGATGAATTGTTCGTCAGTACAAAAAGTAAATCTGAAGTAAAGCCGTCGTTAAATGATCCGTTAGTAGAAGAAATCACAGATAAGAAATTCGGTATAGAGGGACAAATAAAAAACAACGATACCAAATTTATTTCTACAGAAAAAATGACCTCTTATGAAAAATTAGTCCACACCACCAAAGTACAAAAAAGTATTTTCGACAGTGATAGTGAAGAAGAACTGTTTGGTGGTAAGAAAAAAATGGTCAACCCAAATAAATCTTCAGAAAAAGTGCAAACGCAAACATACACAGGTATTCCAGATGTTGATAGCGTCAGTATAGACATAAATAATGCACAATCTCCATTAAACATTAAAAATGAGGAGAAAGCAACTTCTAATTGCGAAAACCAAGAAAATTCACAAAATATTTTACATTCAGATAACACATTGCAAGAGGCTATATTACCAAAAGAGAGCTCCGAGTTCTTAAATATAAAAGATAATAATCCAAATCATGCATTTAATAGTCCCTCCATTTTTGACGACGATGAAATGGAAAATTGTTTGTCCAACACATCTGTAAACCAAGGTGAAGCGAGTCAAGATAATGATCAAACTATAATAAATCGTAATTACGTTGTAGCAAGTGAAAAGGATATGCAAATTGAAAATATTATAACTAGTGACAAACACAATATTGAAGACAATAGAGATTTTGAGAAAAAAGATATACGAATATCGGAAAACGAACGTTATATACAAAAAGATATCCCCTCCGATAATGTAAAAGAATTTGAGAAAAATAGCCATAACGTCAAAGAACTCACTTCTCAACAAAATATACCGACGGAATCCAAAATAAGTCCAGAGCAATCTGACATAATTAAGGAAACTAGTCCGTTTTCTGATATATTTAATGATTTACCTCCAGAATTTGAAAAACCTAAAGAACCAAAGAAAAGCAAAAATGTCAACGCCCTCTTTGATGATGATTCCGACGATGAAACATTATTCTTCAAGAAAAGTAGTGAAGTTACAGATGAACTACCAAGCCCTGGTTACGCAAATGAACGGTTTAGTATATTTCACGATGAACCACCTGCTGTTGACATCGATTTTACCCCGAAACCTCCCAAACCAAATAAAAACATAATTATTGATACTCCTAATGAATCTGTAGAAGAATTAACTAATTCACAGGATTGTAAAAAAGATAAAAATATAATAATCCAAAAGAAAAACGTTGATCAAGAAGCTCTTTCGCCAACCTCTATAGAAGAAACTGTAAACAAAAGTGAGATTCATTCGTGTTTTGGTGATACTGCCGAAAATGTTAAAATTAAATCTAGGGTGCCCGTAGAAAAGGTAGAAGATTCAATTATATCGACGAATATATTAATCACGGATAAAATTAATAAGTTACACAATGAAAGTCCGATAGAAGAAAAAGGAAAGAAATCGAAAAATATTGGAAAATTGAAGACTGCAAATCTTATCATTAATGTAAATTCTCTTCTACCAGGTGCAGCGCCTAAAAAAAATAAATTACCTGAAGAAATCGACGGCGCTGTTCAGTCGAGGATGCCGGAAATAAATGATCGAGTTCAAACGGCGGAAATCCTGGACAATACTGTTTCTAAAGAAAGAGCTAAAATTAAAGTTAAAAGACGTCCTTCTACGAGACAGGCTAGAAAAGAAGCCGCTAGAAAATCTGCTATTGATTTTGGAGAAAGTGTTGATTCCACAGACAATTCTGCTACTATAGATAGGTCAAAATTTTCCAACATAGTTAGTGCAGATAAGATCTGTTATGATAAAATAGACAATAAACCATATAATAATTCTGATGACAATAAAAGTGAAAATGTAACAAAAGTAGTATATATTATAAACGACGAAGACATATTTTCGGAAGGAAATAAGGATTCAAATGATAATAGATCAAATGTACCTCCACAGAAGTCGAAAGAAACTATAACAGAAGTAGGTATATTAGGTCAAAGTAAAAATAATATACATCAAACAAAACCTTCGACAAGCACAGATAATAAATTTGATGCTAATAAAAATGCTAAGTCAGATGTGAAAGCAATTTTTGATCTTAGTGATAGCGATGGTGAACTTTTTGGTGCCAGTAAGAGTAAGCTGCCGCCGAAAACTAAACTTTTCGATTCAGACAGTGATGATGACGATTTGTTTGGAGGGAAAATACAAAAATCGAAGAATGTAGAAAAAGTGAAAACTACTCAATCACTCTTCAGTGGTGAGAGTGACGATGATCTGTTTGGTACATCTACAAAAAATAGTGGTGAGTGAAATTTTGCTTATCTGAAAATTGTTATATTTTGTTATGTTGGTTATATTTTACACCTTTATAATATACTTTGCCACTGTGTCCTAAAATATGGTCGACATTTCTTTACAGATTCAACTTCAAAATCGAAAGAGGTTTTAAGTAAACCATCCGAACCAGTCTTTGAAGATCCTCTATCAATTTTAAATCAAGATAATAGGTAGTTTTCATTCGTTTCGTTACATTTTACAGCTATCTGTCGATAATACTATTTGCCGAAGAAATATTTTCGCCATGGCGTTGGTAGTCAGTTGGTTAATCATTAATCATTTCTCTTTAATCAAAGGCTTTAAAAATTTGAAAAGGCACTACATACAATACACTTAGGGCCCATAGAGACCAAGTGGCTTACCAGTGTACATGTACAACAACGGCAACAGTCAATGTAATTGTTCAACACTTTTCATACAGATTTTGTATTGCCCTAAGTTGCTTGGTGCTTATGGGTAGGCCCATTGTTTTATATTATTACAAGGTTTATGCTTTGAATGTTGCATTAGTTATTAAGACATTCCAGATAATATATTTTTGTTATTGCTACTTAATACTTAGTTGATTTCTTGCTTGGCTTTAAATTATTGTGTTTTTAATAAAAAAAATAAAAATTAATGCCAATATGATAATTTATATGTAAATGCGTTATTATGAGTGATTTATTGAACAAGGCTATTTTAATTGTTTAATTTAAGTCAATTATTTACAGTGTTAGTTAATGTGTTGCTAAAAGATTTTTAACATGTACAGTATATTATTATGCATTTCTATAAAAGATTTCACAGAAATTATAAAAACGATTGTATAAAATTTTAATACATTATTTTCTAAATAATCAATAGCAAAATAACAATATTTTCGTTTTTATAATAATATGATCTATAAATATTGTTGATATGAATAAATAATGTTTTACTAAACGCGTTGGGATTTCTCAAACTATAATTTCACCCCATTTAAATGTTATACAAACATTTTAAAAAGTAACTTAAGTCATATCACCAGCTACCATTTAACCGATATCTTGATAATGTACCATTTCACCGATATAAAAGACGACATCGTCTAAATATCTCTTTAAGATCGAGTTAACTCATCTTCGCGGAACATCACTAAAGTAACTCAAAGTGACAATTGACATTTTAGAATTCATTTATACTGTTTGTCAGTTGTCTGGATAGTGGATTAGTGTCATTTGATTTGAGACAGCCGACAGATCAAATTGAGTGGATTTAAAATATATAGTTTTAAAAATAACCTGTTAAAACGGTTTTAAGCAATACCTCGCAAATTCCATTATGAAGTCTGGTGATAGAAAGAAAATTAAAAAGCCTAAGAATAGAAAGAAACCGTCTGTTAAACCCAAAAAAGAGAAGGTCTTGATAGTCGCCCAAGAGTTTAAGTTCGCAAAGTTGTTGTCAGGAAATGAGAAAACTACACGTGATCGTGTGCTAAAAACATTGAAACGATGGCTCCTAAATTGCTTTTCAAAAAATTATGGTAAGTTATATTTCCTTTGTACATACGGCAATATCTTGTTAGCGCGCACGTTGATTTATAACCTCAAATTTGATATTGGTTGAATTAATCAATATGTCAACTGATTTTATACATACTTGGTAACTTCTGAGATAATAATAATAATAAATGTTTATTCCAAATTATAAACTAACAAACCTCTTCACAACATTTAATCAAACTACTATATATCTTTTAGTATTCAAAGAAGGAGACTTTATCCGTGTCTGGAAGGGATTGTTCTATGCTGTATGGATGTCTGATAAACCTTTGGTGCAGGTAAATGTTGCTATAATCAGTTAATTAAATATTATAAGGAATACACCCATATTTGTAAAGTATTGGAGTTTTTGACGTATTGTTTTTTTCTTAAGTAATTATAGTGCAAAATTTTGCTCACATGCAAATGTTGCACTAGTAATCTAAGTGAGAAAACAATCTTTATATGCATTGTTCTATTATTAACTACTAGCTGTGCCCGTGACTTCATTCGCATGGAATAGTGACTTGTGGTAGAATTTTTAATTATTTAGGCTGTTTATTAATTTATGTAAGTGCACATTTACGGCAGCCAATATGTATTTATGTTGTATGTGCTACTTTGCCACAACACTCTTACCTCACATCACTCCTACTCTAACTCCCACTCTCATTCCTACAGTACTCTCACTCCCACTCCTATTCCCAAATACCAAAAAAGAAAGTTCTAGCTTCAAAAACCACGAATTTCCATACAAATTTTCATCCCCCTTTTCAACCCATATAAACCTCTATTTGGCATATAAAATTAGTCACATTGCAATGTGTTATAGCCGATTAATTCGATAAATGCTCTTACTAACACAAAAAGAATTTTTAAATTTGAACCCATACTTCCTGAGATTAGCACGTTCAAACAAACAAACTCTTCAGCTTTATATATTAGTATAGGTGTTTACATTATTTATCTTTCAGGAAGATCTATGTGAAAGTATTTCACACATATTAGACCTTTTCCCAAATGAGCAGTTCAAATACGCTTTGATGATGACCAGAGTTGGGTTCAAAGTGCTCGCTATGGAGTGGTATGGATTGGACCAGCATCGAATGGATAAATTTCTTATGGTAAAAATTACAACTTATTTAAACTAAAATTAAAAACCAAATTTCAAGTTTCTCTCCGTATCTGTACAAATAGAAGTATTGTAAACTCTTACGATATTTTTTGTGAAAATCATATCCCTATATAATCATAACTCTTAATAGAAATAAAGTTTTAAGAAAATATTTTCAGTTATGCACTGATAAATATAGGTAGTATAAAATACAAATCTCTTATAGTTGTGTATAGCATTTTTTAGACAATATGGCCTTCTTTCTTTTCAGTTGGTGCGTCGGTACTTAAGGGGCAGTTTCCGTTGTCTTCTGAGACAAGACTGGGCTGTTGATGCTTGTCAAGCTTATGGAAATATGCTTTCTTCAGAAGATGGTTAGTACCGTTTAAGTATGAATGGGGCAAATTGCTTTTTTATTTGAGAAAATTTAAACAAATCTTTAGGGATTATTAAAAAGTTATAAGCCTTTTGTATGATCTTTCAAATTATAAATTAACAAATTTGCTGCAAGAGATTGTACTTCAAAATATTCAGATAAATTAAGAATAAGATGATGAAATAGATCCAGGTATGGAGATTTTTTAATATAGTGCAATTTGAAATGTTTCAGGTATATTAGCAGTCAAAACTCCATTCTATGCGAGGAATGGTGTCTCATTAATATTTCACATCACTGAATGTTATTTAGAGGAGTTATCAAAGGTGAGAATGGTTTTATTTTTAATGAAATTTTTCTTTAAACATCTATGCTGTTTGGTTTAATGTATTTTGTTTGTACACCAAATTTAATTTATTTTAGGTATCAAAAGGCAAGATCCCAGATGAGAGCCTTTTAGAACTATTAGACCCTTTTCTTAAGCAAGTGTGTGTTGGGGAAGACAGTGGAGTGTGCGTATCCAGTCGGCGTCTTTTGAATGACCTGCTGAAACAGAGCGAGCTTGGCTTGCAGTATGCTGGGGCGACCAACGCCTGGAAGGAGGTAAGAATTTTTAGACAGGCTTGTCAGTCTAATTATAGCAATGTATGGCTAATAATCAATGGGTTGTGGGTTTGATCCCCACCGGGTCCGTGAAGCTTAGTCGCGTTTTCGGTTTCAGTCTGCTTTGAAAGGAGGACCTTTATCATTAAAAAAATGACAAAGTGGGACCAAGATTTATAAAAGGCTCTGGTACAGGGCTCTGGGATTGGACTTTCACTAATAATCATTCTTCGCAGATGGGCTGCCCCCCAGAAGGACCGGATGCCTTTGAGCTGGTCTCTGATGAAGAGACAGAAGATGCAGCTACTGAAAATGACAATACAGATAGGTAACTTTAAAACAGTCTGTTTATACTTTATAGCATCATCTCTAATAATTAAAAAACGATTTTAAGATAGAAAAAAATTACGCGACTAGTACACATTTAAATAAAACCACTTTAACGGTTTTATTTACATGTGTGTTTGAAAATTATTTTAACTCCATTCCCCGTCACCACTGCAAAGCATCCGATACGTCGGGTCAATGTTAAAATAATTTTCGAATAAGTTTAACTAATATATATCGCGTTTTAAACCGTTAAAGTATGTTATGTAATATAGTACCACCATGTGTATGTAAAAAATATTGAAGTGTCTCTCTCTGCCTGAATCATCTCTGTCTTTTTCAATATAAATGTAATTTTTGCCTCAGCGGCCCGTTAGATCCTCGCGCGGGCAGAGTCAACGTGGTTCTCGAGCCGTTGCCCGTGCCAGCGCAGCTGATCGCCGAAAGGATCCGCACGCACATGTCCAAATCGACCTCCAAGGCTTACAAAAGAGCCGACATGTGCCTCAAGAGGTATCTATATCATGATAAATTTAGATAGACGTATGCAATGCGTAGAATTTGATAAAGGTGGTTATACCGCGACTGACAGCTACTACTGTATTTATAGTGTATTTTTTCTAACTTGGCAAAAGACCAAAACAAGTATGGCTGATTTCAAACCATAGAGATCTAATGATGATTTTTTATAGAGTGATTTTCGTGCTTTTCGGTGGTCTTGCTTAAGTAAAATCAAACCCCCTGGCTGTACTATGAATTGCTCCTTAGGTTTAATATATTCACAACAATGTATGAGTTTATAAGACATGTTAAAAAAAGCCGGACTGAATTTCTTGGGTGTTCTTCTCAGTTATGTTGCTCTTTTGAACACTCTGTAGAATCACGACGAACGGACGAACAAAGAAAAAAAATATTTTAATAATTTCTAAAATTTTAAAGAGAATAAAGCATATCCCCATCCCATCTTTTTGTAAATATCAAACTAAAGAAATTTTAATCTGTGCCAATGCACAATATGTTAATTCACTTTTAGGATTTTTTAAATTTTAACATGAAATTTTGGGTTTACCATGTGACATACAAATATATCATTAGTTTAATATATAATCCAGTGTCTCAAAAGGTTTTTAAGAGTAAATTAATCTAAACGTGAGTAAATTACTATTTCATGTAAATTGTATGCTTGTTTAAAAAAGATGCCAAGTTAGAAAAAATATACTATACCTATAAGTTACCCGCCTCTGTAGCTAAATGGTTAAACGTGTTGCATAGCATTGCGTTAAGCGCGAGAGGTCCTAGGTTCGTATCTCGGGAAACCGTTAAATGTTTCGGTCGGGCAGGGCACAGGAGTCTGATCACCTACTTGCCTGTAAATAAAACCGATCAGTGAAACGGACACAAAAATGTGTTCGCCCTATGCCCCACGAGGGGAAACGGGATTTCACAGCACCAGTACTTTATGCTCTTCGTTCCAGGTTCGAAAAGCTGTTAAATAACGACTATCCCTTGAAGATTAAGGTACAAGAACCAGAAGCGAAGCCTCAGCGTGGTTCAGGAACGAAGGCGGCCGTTTCTCTTATCGCTCTTGAAAAGTCGCTCGTACAGAGCTCGGATGAACTTGCACTAAGAGGTAGAAAATAATCGTCATTCATATGCAACTGTACTATTTTGATGATAGGCATGTTTTATAAAATTGTTATCTTCAAAAGGATTCAAAGAGAATTGGAGAACTAGCTAATTCACCGAGTTATTTGTGAAATTTTAGACTTTCATATGCTTAAATTCTTGTTCGCAATTTTAATTGGTATAGATATAAATTAAAAACGGCCGGAACTCTGGATACCGATTGAAGTCTTGTCGGTGACGTATTTAAAAAAATCTAAACTTGATTTTTATCGATAAAATGCCATCATGTGCAATAACATGTGAATAATATTCAAGATTTCTAACATTGGTATAGCTGCTAATTTTCAAACGAATCGAACAGGTCTCAGCCGAAAGCACAGAAAGCGTTTGCTCGCAAAATCACGTTCCGGTCTAAGTATTGTCGAAGATGCAGAATTAAATGAAAGTGTAAGTCAGTTATATATTGTTTTTATAATATTATCGGTTACACTGAAATGTAAATAAACTTTTTTGCATACTTTTCCAGAACAAGGATATAGAAGCCGACTCAAATGATGAAGAAGACAAAGCTCAAAATAGAAAACGTAAAGTTAAAGGATCGGCAAAAATTGCTAAGAAACCTAAACTAGATAAAGCAGAGAAAGAAAACAATACAAATGAGAAAAGGAAATCGCTCAACAAAAAGCAAGAAGTAAAACTTTGTGATAAACCAAAAGTTGAAACTGCTAAAAGAAATAAAGTTCTTGTTAATAAAGAAAGTAAAGTTAATATGAATATTAAAATTAAGACTAAGGCTAGTATTAACGGCGTCGCCGGACCTAAAGTAGATTTAGCCACTAAAACAGACACCGCATTGACTAAATGTGATAAAAAAGAAACAACAATAAAACAAATAAATAGCCAAAATCAAAAAGACACAGTGAATAGTAAAAATAAGACTAAAGCAAGTATAGGTGCTCCTGCTGAGCCTAAAGTGGATAAGAAAGGATTAGCTCAAAAACAGACAAATAGCCGGAATCACGAAAACAACAATAAAAATAAAAATCAACCTAACGGAAAGACCAAGGGTTTCACTAAACCGGCGAACGAGAAGAAGGTGAATCTAGACTCTCCAAAAAAAGTGAAATTTGTCCTGAAGAATAACTGTAAGCAAGGCACCGTGGACTACTATAAAAGTGTCAGACAGAGTCCTGACATACCTTTCGACAGTAACAAGAAACCGGACAAGGCCAACTTGAAGCCTGGCACGCCGTCGCCCATCAATCCATTCTTCAAGAAGAAACTGAGACTGCGGCGCTGAACGAACTTTCTGCTGTAGCAATATTTATTATATTCGCTTTCGAGTCGTTAGGCCGTCGTGATAGAGAAATAGGTCTACGCCGAGAGACGCGATGAGACGTCGAGGTCCATTTCTTAATTACGACGGCGGTAGCTTATACTATTGTTTCTTTTGGCATTTCATTATTATTGTTAATCTGCATGAGTATAATTATTACAAGTACAGGTGTATCGTTGTCGTTAAGCGTAGTGTATAACGTTTTTTATCTTATTGTGTCAAATGAATGAATTCAGGAATTGTTAATTTCGTTATATTGTCATATTATGAATGAGATCAATAAGTTTTATATTATTAATAATCCCTTTTTAATAGATTGGGTGCAGAAATTTAATATTTCCATTGCTTGTAATTAACTAAATATTCTTTTTAATAATTGACTTATTTCCCAACTACTTCATTATTTATTAATTTTATGAGCGCAAATTGACGCAGCAGTTTTATAGATAAAATACTTTATTTTATTTTTTCAATATGATAAATAAATTTGAGACAAACAACGTATAAATCTTATCTTTTCTAGTCCTATTGATTTTAGTTAACTGCCATTGTCCATTACAAAAGTGGATGGATTAAGGGGTCGGTTAATTAAAACAAATTATTGTATAACTGTGTATATAATATGAATATTTTCTACTCCATTCGCGTAATTTATATTTACAACTAACTTCATTTTTACAAATGGTCATCTCGGAAGCGACCATAGACTGCGGCCGGGTCGCATATAAAACTACAATATGAAAAACTACGAATTACGCAACTGAAATAACAAATCAACATCGTCAATGCTCGATGAAAAAATAAACCCGCAGCTGTAGTCTATGGGCGTTTCTGTCACATTATAGCCAAGCGCGAGTCGACCGCGATCGCCACAGACTGCGGCCGACCCAATTCAAGCTTAAAAAAGATTCTACTTCACCTCGTGACTAAATTTAAATCTACGATGGCGTTTTGCTCACTAAAAAGCTTTATGTACAACATACACATTTTTACAGTGGCACAATCTATTATACATTGGATAACTCACACTAACGGCGATGCTAACTAGCTGTTTTGCGTTTTGTTGACAAAATCCCTAAAGCGAGTGTTTGTAATCAACAAAACGGGAAAACAGTAACAGATATTATTGTAAACGTGTCTTTGTTCTTATTATATTAAGTAGTGACAGCTATGTTGAATTCTACTGCTCCAGGTTTATGAGAACAGAATATGAAAGAGGGAGGAAGGGGGGGAGTGAACAAGCACACATTTACAATATATACAAACTACAAAAACAACTCACGCTTTAGACCACAATTTCGATTATCACAATATAAGGCCAGCCTTATTGCCCGCGCGTAATGCTCGGAATTCAACAACAGATGGCGTTGCGCTAATACAAGTTGAAACTATATGAGTCTCTAGCTAAGCATAAGTAAAAAAAACGTCCGACTCTTAAAGGCTGGCCTAGACGTACGGGCGACGGTCAAATTCCTAATTACCGACTAAACTTTCCACTAATTTTGTCTTATAGCTTACATTTAGTTTAATAAATAGTGTATTATGCATAGAAATTCTACTTCATTAAATCCCTTGTAAGGCCTAACGCGTTCACATCAAAAATCAACGTTACAATAAATGCACAATTGTTATCACTATAATGTATTGAATTTTCCACTTCGGCTTAGAATTTTCAGTTTCAGTTGTAATAACGTATCCGCGTTCGCCCTCGACTACTTCTAGTGTGTAACATAATTATAATTTAGCGTTTTCATTTACCCTGCACTAAATTGCTTATGGTGTTACAAGGCAAACGTCTCTATTGGGTCGTTTCAATTACAAGCGGCGATTGCCTATGGGCGCTAGAATAAAATGGCGACTGGTGGGGGGAGTGGGGAGTACCGTCAATAATGTTTTAAAAAGTGTAGAGGACCAAACAAAATATTGCTTTAGCTACAGTGGCGCCACCTAGAGATAAACACTAAAAGCGTATTTCCATAATATTTGGAAAACATGACCCCGGACTGTCTCATAAAACTTACATATATTTGCACTAGGTCAAATTTTAGATAATAACAAATAAATAGGTTTTAGCGTCTCGCCATAAGCAACGGCCTCAAAAATTACATACTACAGTAGTTTTGTCATATCTGTGAAAAACTTAAACAATAAATGTGGAAGCGCTTTTATATTTTGTACACGTTGGGTTACGCCTATAATACGTTTTGCCCACCACACTGTCAGAGTACATCATGTAATTGCTGCATAACGCATGTAACGGTTTAAAACGCAAAATATATCCGCGCCGGGAGGGCCGCCGTTACACGGATATTGCATAGTTTGCGAGAAGTTTAGTTAAAAATAAGTTAAACAATATATGTCGCGTTTGAAACCGTTCAAACAATTTCATAACTTTCTTACTATTTTACCAATTGCATTGTTTGCATGTTGAGATTGTGTATTTCTCCTAGAATTTGTACTAAAAGCAAAAGACATTTTTTTTTCCTACATTTCGTAAAACTTCAAAAAATTTCGTCCTTTTTCTAGAATTTATTTTTTTGAGGTTTTAGTAACGAACAGATAAATCTGAAGCGTTATATATATAAAACAGTGTAGTGAGCATTTTGTGCTTATTTTGACTGCATTTGTACATCGAACCCTACAACTAACCGGCTAACGTCAATTAAATATGTATATATACAAATAGTGCGTGATGTCATCAATGTTTCGTCACATTTGTCTACATATAGATAATATCGACTTGTCGAATACTTGGTCGTCTGTTGTTGGGGCCAATCAGTATGGAGCGGTATTCTTAGTAAGAATTTTAGTATACTCGTATTAGATAGTAGGAAACTGGTGGGCTAGGTGCGCGGCGCTACTGCTGGCGGGGGCGGTTTCGGCGGCAGTCTCGGGGCTAGCCTGCGGGTAGTTTGACAAATATACATTTTGAAACCCTTGGTTGGTCCAACGGTATAATAATGAATGGGTTGCGGACTTGACCTGTTTCTCAAAATGATTTTCTTAAATTATATTAGATTTTCTGAGAAGGCTGGAATTTTACAATTTATCAAATAAATGCCATGCTTTAGTCACATCTCTTTCGTTGCTAAGGCAGATATAAAAAAAATGATAAATTTTCTCTATAACTTACAGCAGACATAATATCAGAAGATTGTGATGGAAACTCACCCAGCACTGTGATGTCTCCGTTGCAGTAGGGCGGAGCTCTGTGGGCGGAGTAGCTCTGGAGCTGGCGGAGGACGTGGCGGCAGAGGCGGGGGGCTATTGCTAGTGCTAGGGACCGCTGTCGATGAGGGGGAATTGTCCTGCCAGGAGCCCTAGAGATGAAGAAATCGATTAGATTTATTTATTTACAACATCTGAAAAAAGAATCTTAAGTATAATTAGTTTCTTTTCAATCCCCTAAAATTTTGGCTCACATGGTGTAAAGTGGGAGTGGCGGCGGAGTCCCTTCGCCGTCTTGGGGGCAGGGGGGGTGGAGTGCCACAGGAACTTGACTCGCCTGCAAAGGGATTATTACATCTATACATTATACTTAAATATAATTATAACTATTTGATGAGATGCTTGCGACTGCGTTAAATAAGATGTTATTAACTTTGTTGTGGAATGACGAACGTTAACTAGATAATATGACGGTAGTAATTACTTACATTGTTGTAAAGACGACGGAGAGGTCGCCGAGGGGAAGCTAAACGTTGGCGGTCTGAAACATTGGAGATCGTAAATATATTTTTTTAATATGAGGCTCTACGTCGCTACAAACTATTGGAGGCTTAAGTAAGCCTATTCGTTTTTTTAATAATAGAGGATACCCCAGCCTATGGCATCTAAACAAAAATAGGCTGTCGACCTATTTTGGCTTTGGATATTCGGAAATCCAGATGTCAGTCAGTGGTTCATGACCCGGACGAAATTTCGATATTCCTACCGGCCGTTTAACATCCAGATTTCCAGACGAAGTCCAAAATGATTCAGAAAAATTATAAATTGATTAGATATGTTGGACCCGGTAGGGATCGAACCCGTTGATTATTAACCGTAGATTGCAACGATAACACTAACGAGCCCATCAAAGCGTTTACTCTGGCGATTTTAGAAGAGTCCAAAGCCCCAGTCTTGTTTTTAACCCGAAGATTCTTAGAAAACATGGACGTTTTTTAATATATTCAATACTAAAGTTAAGCTAGACAAGATGCATTACCTTTCATGATGTAGTGGGCTGACTGTGGGAAGCGTTGGCTGTGGCGGCGCGGGCGCAGGCGAACGCTTAGGCGACATCGCTGGACTTCTAAGTTGGAAAACAAGATCATAATTATTTCACAATTTACTAAAGTCGTTACAGACTAGACAATACCAAGTTAATTCCACATACCTAAATAGTTCGTGGTGCTTCGGGCTGGGAAGTGGTTTCTCATTTTCAGTAGCATCTGACGCCCCTGCGTTTTAAAAACGAAACATAATAGTAATCATATTGTCAACTTAACGACACTTGTATTATAATAGTTCCAAGTTTCCAAAGCCAGAATTGGTCGTCAGCGTATCTTGTTTAGATCATTCGGGGTATTTCCCCTTCCATCGAGTGAACCTGGATATTAAATGGATGGTAGGAATATCGAAATCACGAACCACCATTCACAGAAAAAACAAGCATTGAAGTTTTATCGCGTTGCGGTTTCAATCAGTGGATTTCCGAATATCCAAAGCTGAAATAGGTCTACAGCGCATTTGTTTTTAGGGCATATGGTAAGGCTGGGGCATTTCCCCTTCCATCTAGGTAATCCGTGCTTGTCTATCCCCCTCTATATTAGAAAAGTGCTACGTATCATGGCTTCTATGACATAGCGTTAAATATGCCACATACCTAAAGCATGCAGGTGATGGTGGGGTGGTGGCGGCGGAGGTGGGGGAGGCTCGTGGTCTGCGAGTGACATCGTGGAAGATAAGACGCTATGCCGAGGTAGCAGAGGTGGTACTCGCTCCTGAAAAGCCAGCATGATTTTAGGTTTAAACCATTATATACGCTTTATGACGCGAAATATATTAGTTAAACTTATATGGAAATTATTTTTAACTTCGCCGTGCAGCAGCCGAAACGTCGGGCCGAAGCTAAAAATCATTTCCAAATAAGTTTAACTAATATATCGCGATTTAAATCGTTAAACTTATTAACTAATGTGGTTCGCCAAATACCAATTACGACGAAACATACGGCGAGACATCCTCGATCTGCCTGTCCGTGGCCACGGCTGCTGCAAGGCATGCGAAACGTCAGGCCGTTATTAAAATAATTGTAAATAAGTTTAATATATTTCGGATTTTACCGTTAAGAGCGCTTTATTTCAATGATATTACGTCTTAAGATGAAATTCCAATATTTAAAAAAATAATTTATATAAGTACTTAAATTTTAGCCAGTGACCTAAGATTGTTAATTAATAGTCAAGTAAATAATTCAATATATGCTGAATTAATTAATTATTTGACGAACTCGTTGGTCTAAAGGTAGCACTGTATGGCTAATAACCAACGGATCGTTTAATCCTCACCGGGTCTATCAAGTTTATAATTTTTCTGAAACATGTTGGAATCACCGTCCAGATGTAAGCGCTTTGAAGTTTAATCGCGTTTTGCTTTCAGTCCGTGGACTTTCGAATGTCCAAAGCCAAAATAGGTCCATAGCGTATCTGGTAGATGTTCTATGGCCTTCCATCAAATGAACTCCTTGCCCGTCCTGTCCTGTCCTCCTCTATCATTACTTTAATACCATACCCACCTGCTGATCGTTTCTTTTGCATGCGAGGTGGTCCATGCTGCGCGAGTAGAACAGCTCAGCGTCGACGATGGCCCCGCGGGGGGACAGCGCCGCGCCCCGGGACCGTATCGTGCCCATACTGCTGGCCATATTGTTGGACACACAGGTGGTGCTGTTGCAGCTAGAGGCAGATTACGCAAGTTATATAGAGAATTGCCCGATTTTTCTAAATTATTCATTTGTGAACTATGTTTAAATAAAAGTTTAACGGTTTAAAACGCAAAATATATTGGTAAAACTTTTTCGAAAATTATTTTAACTACGGTCCGACATTTCGGATGCTATGTAGCTGCCATGGTCACGAGGGAACTAGTAGTTGAAGTAATTTTCAAACAAGTTTAACTAATGTATTTCGCATTTTAGGGCGTTAGTGTTTTCATTGAAACGTATTCTACTACCGTAAACTACAGACAGTATTTAGTGAAGTTTTTTTTGAATGTAGAAATGACATTGCGAGAGAGGTGCATATAGCAATGGGTTGATAAAATTCGACCATGATGTCTAGCACATGGTAGCCCAGTTGGCCAGGAGCAGCATTGAACGGAAGTCTCGCCTGAAGCGTAATTGTTTTTCTTATTTGAAATAGATGATGTCAATCTATAGTCCAGCCACTTACCGATCATGCCTCGGCGAAGTATTGTCTCTAGGCGAAGGCGGTTCATCCCTGGCTGACATACTATTCCTGACGAAACAAACCAAAAGTCAGTATCGAACCATATTACAATATACAGATTGTAATACCATCAATGATTATTCCAACTAACCTTGTGCTGTTTAGTGTAGCGAAAGATTTGCTCTTGTCGAAGAAGGCAAGTTTGTCGAAGAGGCTCAATTGTCCTAGTTGAGCCAGAGAGCTGGAGCTGGATCTCTCCAATCGGGGACTCGTTAGAGATCTATCGCCTGCAAGATAACAATACAATTATAACAAGAGAAATAGAAAGGAGTTTTATTTCATTTATTACAGACAAGCAGAAGGTTTACTTGATAGAAGGTAGAATACCCAAGCCATATGGCATCTTAATAAAATGTGATGTCAGCCTATCTTTGACTTTAAAGATTGACGTGCATTTCTATTTTATGAGCTTTTTCATGACTCGGAAAGTATTTTCATATCCCTACCACCAATTTAATGTCCAGACTTTCTAGATTTTTTTATTTTAAAACATGGACCGGGTACGAATAACTTCACAATCCGTCGAATAGAGCAGCTATACCCGTTTTGATAATATCAGCTGTTTAGCATAATAATTGAAAAAAAAAAAAAAAGTTTACGAATTAAAAAAAAATACCCACCTCTGTCGTCTTGGTGTATTGGAAGAGAAGCTAGAGAAGCGCCATCCCACGTGCTGATACTAGTCGGCGACAGCTGGGCTACACCTATGAATAGAAATATTTATATAACTGAATAATCTATTTAGCGCTACTGTGTTGCACTGTAGCTCAATAAGTAGAGTACATAGTAGCTCAACAGTAAAGAATGCTGCGGTTGTGGGTTCAGTTCCACTAGCATGGTTTAAGATTAAATACGATCAGTTGTTTCCCCAATTCGTCGTTCTTTGTCATAAGGGCTACATTAATGAATGTCCAAATGAGGTACTCACTCAAGGTGTCTTCGTTACTCGAGATGCTGGTGGAGGAGTGGTGGTGCTCGTGAGAACGTCGCGACATCTTCACCGGTTTCACAGATAGCTCAGGATACTTTCGGGGCTGAAAAAAAATTTACATAAATTTTAAGTCTTAAGGACTTACCTGTTCCAGTGAACCAGCCAAACAGGCAAATTGTTGACAGTTACTAGTAACTGTCGAGACTCTAGAGTCCAATCCAGTTTTTTTATATACAATGGGCATCATGAATCCTTTTTACCAATTCACTTTTAAGTAACCATGTAAAAGCATTGTCAGTAAAAAGTTTATAGGCATTTTCAGTTTTTGATAAAGAAAAATCTGCTTCATTTCCAAGAAAGGCAATCACCCTCCCTTCCCTGGGTACAACAATGGACACATACTAAAGCTGATGTTAAAATAGTCATACATACATACGACCATACTCAAATAATACAGTGATGTAATTTATTTGAGAGTTTAAGGATTTTGTTGGTACATACTCAAATTAATTCACTCGGCGTCGTTAGTCATACTTTTTGCTTATTTAAGATACTGTCGTAGTACTCACGAATTTGGGCGTGGGCTTCGCCGGCGGTCTCGGTTCGATTTCGAGACTCTTGTTGTAGAGGTAGTTCGTCACCTCGTTGTCGTCGATGCTGGGGAATGGGTCCAGCGTTTCGAGGAACATCTGTCATCAATACATTTATACATGAATATACAAAGCTCGACTGACTCTCAAATCATTTATTTTTTATAAAAGTAGACGAGTACCATAAAAAATCCTTATTTATTTAACTAGTTTTATATCTCAAGTAGGAAATATAGTATTAGTATACCTTAAAAGCTAAGTCTTCTCTAAAAAATAAGTCTTGTGCAAATAAAAAACCTCCTCGTTAGTAAAATGGTTCACCGTGTTGCTAATATCGCGTTAAGCGCGAGATCCTGGGTTCGAATCCCAAAATGTTTGTTTCGGGCAGAGCGCAGCAGTGTGATCGACCACTTGCTTGTAAAAGAACCTGTCAGGGAAACAGTCACAGAAATGTGTTTGTCCCAACCCCCACAAGGGAAAGCAGGATTTCACTTCAAATCAAAAGAGATATACAAAGAGCAATGTCTCACCCTAGTCCGGGGCTCAACGGTGAGACAGTAGGGTTGGTTCTGATATTGCTGAATCTCGCCAGTTATTTCCGCCACTTTTCTTCGCTTCGAGAAGTTTATTAATTGTGAGTTTGGTAGGTAATCTGAAAGATTTTTTACATGACATTGCATTATATGAATTAAAAATCAATTTTAGACTGAAAAATATTAGACACGGGCAGTACTTGAACGGCATCCACAGCGTTTCGTGGTATTGCTCTAACTAATTGAGATAACTAAGGTCATTTTCGGTCAATTTCTTCAACCTGGATATCTCTCTAGATCTCCTCTCATTACAGATCCACCATGGTGCTTAAATTAATCGGGGTGGTTGGTCTAAGTATGACCTAACGCAACGATGCAGTACAACTCACCTAAGTTTCCCTCCTCAATGTGCAGTATGTTCGTGAGGTAGATCCCGCAGAAGGGCACGCAAGGCGGGTTAATGCTCCTCAATCTCTCCTGGTACCTCTTGAAATGGTCCGAGTTGAGAGTGCGGAACTGCTCCAACGCTCGGAGTAGACGGAGTGGAACCATCTGTAATAGGTTTGGACCTTCACTAACACCGGAACAACTACTGCTATACCAGACTATAACTACAATGGATTTAGTTGGATAGTTCATTGATAAACTTCACTATTTGTAGTTTTCGCGAGAAGTATACATTTGTAAATTTGAATATAAAAAAAATCTATATCATGCTATGCGTGTAGTGCCTACCTTAAATAGGATATGTAAATAGCTTTACTCTTTATATTGTTAAAATGTACTAAAGTACTATATATTCACACTCTGTAATACCGACTGGCGGGCCATTTTTAATAAATAAATTTCATGCGGATGAAGTCGCAGGCACAGCTAGTAAATTTAAATATTTCATGTGTAAGACCGTTACGGTACTTTATTTATATATTAGAGGAACAATTGAATAACGTACTTATTACGCCACAATGTTTAGCCAATAACTTCTTTAATAATAATACCTGAAAAGTGTTTCTCAGCCGATGCACACTAGCGCTACCGCACGCAGCGACGACAGCAAGCACACCGTTAAAATTATTCAGGTCGCGCAAGCAAATGGCCAGCTCCAGGAACCGGGCCACCACTCCAGCTCTCTCCTCTACGTTTTCGCTCTCCACTATCCACTTCTCCATCCATCGAGTGAACTGTTGAAAGATGTTATCAAAACCACATTCAGGTTAAGGAATAGGCCGCATATTGATAAAGAATATTTAAGTTGCTGGTCTATATGACTTTCGTCTGCTAATACGAATTACAATAACAACACATAAATCATTATCGTAAACACTGACGATGGTTAATATCATATATCTTTGTCTTCTAAATGCAATAAGAAAGAGACAACAATATAATTGTAAATATAGGAAAACTTACATTCGTCGTGTGTTTAATGATTTTCAGCAAATTGGGACTAGTTTTCTCTTTATCTTTCTTCGTCCACACTGCTCCCACTAGTTCTGAAGGTTTAACCTGAGGTAATCACAATAATATAATTGAAAATTATACAAAATAATAACGCCGCATTTTCAGCAATATTTTGACTTGTTGATGGTAGCAATTTATGGCTACTCATCCACGAGTCGTGGGTTCGAACCCCACCGGGTCCAACATGTTTCCAATTAAATACTGTCAATAGTTTACTCGAGTAGTACACATTTAACGGTTTAAAACGCGATATATTTATTTAAATGTTTCTAATTATTTGTAATTTTTCTGAAACACTTTAGACTTCGTCTGGAAATCTGGATAGTGAATGGGTAGGATTACAAATTTCTGTCCGGGTCACGAGTCACCGACCATAGATAATATAACCATCGAGTTTCATCGCGTTTTAGTCTATAATTTTGGGATATCCAAAGCTTCCAAAGGTCGACAGCGTATCTTGTTAGAGTATTATATGGCTGGAGTGAATCGCATGCCCATCGGTCCTCTATAATGAAGAGACAATATTACCTGTCTATAGAGTTGAAATTCGAGCAGCGTGAGTTGTCTGGCCAACTCGAGCGGATGTAACGCCAGGGGGTGCCAGTTGTATCTGTCCGGGTCGGCCACGTGTCGGCAGGTGGCGGGGGGCAGGCGATCGAACACGTGGGCAACACCACCCGCTATGCTGTCAGTGTCGCCTCCAGTGAAACTCTGTAACGGGAAATTATACGATTATATCCATTTATTGTTAAAATCTTTTCTTGTAAATAAAAAAAAAAAACTTTTTCGTAATTTAATATATAAAATAATATAATTTGTATAAGGTTTTTGCAAAGATCTTTGAGTTATCCAGATATCATCAACTCGTGGGTGAGACGTCAGCAACTATTTCTCAATTAGCGACAGAACAGTTAAAATCCCAAGAAACTTTGAACAATACTATGTATAACTAACTATAAATAAGCAATAATAATCAAATATTGCTTATTTAACTTATTGTCTCTCTTTTCAAAACATAAGTCACATTAGAGTGATAGGGACGACATGGTTTTAGGCAACCAGTGTACATGGAAGTTGAAAAGCGAATATACCTTTCTTTGTACAATTTTGAGCACACTCTGCACCCACTTCTTCATCGGTTTCCCATCAACGGACTCTAGGAAATCTTTTAATTTGTCGAGCAACGCCGGGTCACGTTCGAAGTCATAGAAGTGTTGGTCCACCCAATGTCGCAGGACGTTTATCACACTGAAACATAAGAAAATAAAGTTTACTACATAGAAATGTATATTTGAAATCTCAGTTTACATCATCTTCTAACTTTTACAATTAAATATCTTTCTAGTAAAATCTCTTACCGGAATTTCACAGGCTGTTGGAACTCTTTCCTATATCGCTTCCAGTCCTCTCTAGCCGTGTTTTTGCTGAGCTTTTCTGCGTCGCTGCTGGCGGACATTTCTTCGACGCATTCCGCTGCAAAGGGGTAAGGACACAATAAAAACTTTGACTCTTGTTCCGTACTCTTTATTGTGCTCTAAAGGTACAAGTTAAAAAACACGATTGTGATATGTGGTGGGTAGTTGTTAAATATTATATTTTAACTAATACATCGAGCAACAATTTCACGTATAAAGCAATACATTACCGATATCCAAATCGAGATCCATCAACGACGCGTGAGGACTTATGTCCTTCTTTGGAGGCTTGATCCTTGGGACTAGCGTGCGCAAATATTATAATGCTTATAAGTATGGGCGGTTATGGTGAGCGAATAGAGTGAAAGAGAAAGAAACTGTGTGGAAAAGAGAGAAGAGAAGAAGATAATATAATATAGATTTCAGTTATTATATAAGAAATTGAGGGTGAAGAATATGAACAAAAGAGGATGAAGATAAGACGAAGGTGTTGTTCGTGCAAATTATAGATTAATACAGAAATAATAAAATTTCAACTTAAAGTTATTTGCCGTTTGTGTACTATATCTTTATGTATGTTATAAAGAAACAAATAAGCACTGTGACATTGGTGTAAGCCAAATGCCGTCCAATATTATATAATATAGATTTGTACTTGTTCAGAAACACATTATAAATAAACACTGTGTAATCTTACCAAAGGGTATAGTATAGTACATATTAATAAATTTTATAATAAACTAGAATGTCAGAGAACTTACACGTCCTCGGCGTGTCGTAGACCTCGCTGGGTTCAGGGATGTTGAACCTCTCAATGAGCAAGTCGAGCAGCTCTCCAGGCGAGCAGAACGAGCGATAGGTGGTGAGGAATGTGCGTACGAGGTTCAAATCTGCGTAGATATGGTACGTGAGGCGTTCGACTAGCTTGAGGAGCGTTGCACCCTGCAATAACAACGTATATTTATAGCCTTCTATAAATACTTATAGTTAGTGGTTTAAGCGACGACAGCAATGAAATAAAACACTTTTAATGGTTAGAAACGCAAAATATATTGCTTATTTTAACTACGACCCGACGTTTCAGATACTTGATCACAAGGGGATTAAAGGTTAAATAATTCGGGTTTAAAACCGTTAAGTCTTTTATTTAGAGTTATAGTGCACAAGTTGCCCATACAGTTAGTTAGTACCTTGATAAGTGGCGTGGGCCCCGCCCTTTCCTCCAAGACGATGTTATCGGGGGAATCGGGCTCCGCGAAGCGATACAGTGCCACCGGGGGCAATTTTAGGGGATGCCGTCGTTCCAGCTCGAGTAATATACTGAAATCAAAAAATAATTATAAAATTGATTGATTTTTCACAGCCGGACTCTTGTTCTTTATAAAACAAGATGGTAAGGGCTTAGACCAACCTTAAAGACAACATTTTTCGATTATTTTTGATTATTCAACTACTTGGTTAGAAGACATTTAATCGCATAGCGGCTTAAAGTACAATTTACATTTCTATTGTAGGTTGCATAAAGCCAAACTGATATGAAAATAAGAAACAAACTGATATAATGATATCATATAATGGAAAATATCCTTCCATTTGTTTAAACAACAACGTCAAAACCGTTACTTAAATCTTTTAAGATTGAAAAAAAATTCCGACACGGTTAGGACTTGAACTGGCATTTAGAGCATTCCGAGCTGTTGCTCTAACCAATTGAGCAACCGGAGCTTATCGGATACGGAAATTTAAGTTTCGATTTTAGATTGGATTTTAAAATTATATAATGCCATTAAGTGAAAAATATTCGTTTCCAAAGAATGAAATAATCAATAGTGATGATATACCTGTCCAGACTCCTATCCAGCATCGGCTTAGTATTGAGCATGACGAGATCGCACATCCAATTTCGCTTCTCCGCCCCAGACGCAGCTGACAGCACCACTGGTCCACCCACGCGTGGGCAAAGCTCCATCAAGTTGCGGCCCTCTGCAAAAAGAATTGATTATATCTTTTAGGTACTAATAGTTATAGACTGGACAAGTTGTTATACGTAATGTTTCATTTTTCTTGCCTCGTTAGTCTAGAGGTCAATGCCGTCATGAGGTCCCCCCTCGTCCCCCTTTTTTAACCTGAGGGTGTGAATGCATAATGCTCGTCCTTGTGGGGCATTTCTGATCCTTGCTCTACATTGCCGGGATCCTATCGGTAGTACCAACAATGCCGGGTGCTAGAGTCAAGCAGAACCACTAAACACACTACCAGCCCCCTACGGTGCTGTTAAGGAAGCCCTGGCCCGGTTTCACCTGGATCGAGCGCAATGTTACTTCAGTATTTGGAATTTTTCTGATGAATTTCTGGTTCCATAGGGTAGAAGCAAGACATAATAACATTTTTCAAACAGTAATGTCTTGGTTAATAAAAAATAACTTCTAACCTTCACAGTCAGGTTTATCGACGATTTCCAACTTCCGTATGTGCAATTTCTCTTTTAATTTCAACTGCTGGGGTCCACCTGCTGCTGCGTTGCTATTCACCGTCACCTGTTCAACAAAAAATATATGATGCAACAGTTAAAAAAAATACTTCAACGGTTTAAAACAATATACATTAGATTACTGATCCCCTTGTAAAAACGCTCAAATGATTTTATATGTACTAAATTTCCATATTAGCTTGGAAAAGTTTTAAAAACAAACTACTACTACTACTCCTAATGTACGTAGTAGATCAAACTCACACTGACGATGCTAGTTGATGGTTTGCAGAGCAGCAGAAGACCATCGAATAAAAAAGCTCTTCTTTCGGCCACTCGTTTGCCTGGACCCAGCTTGGAGAGTGTGTCCTCTGAAATGTACAATTTATATAAACATACGATCTTTAAGAAACCTTTATTATTATAGTAAAGAAGTCCATAACTTAATAGATTTCTTTTAACGGTTTAATACGTCAAATAAATTTATTTTTATCTACTACGACAAAAACTACTTCTATAATTAGTCAGAAATTTTAATCTAATCTATCTATACTAATATATAAAGCTGAAGAGTTTTTTTTGTTTGAACGCGCTAATCACAGGAACTCCGGTTTCGAATGGAAAAATAGTGTTGGTTAGAGTATTTATTTATCGAGGAAGGCTATAGGCTATAAAATATCCCGCTGTGACTAATAGAAGCGAAAATACAGCGGGAAATTTGAACAAAACGGGGGAAATTTTTCATCGTTATGGGTTTCCGAGGCGTACGCTGCAAAAACGGTGCAAGAGATCCAAAAAACATGTATGAAATAATTATTCCTCTTTACATGATCTAAAAAAAAGTCCACGACGCTACATTTCTATCTTTTAAGATTAACTTACAAGAACGACGGGAAGGGACGCGACAGACGTCGTAGGTAACGGCTTAAGTTTATAAAGATTTATAGAGGGGTTCGCAAAGACTAATTCGGATGCCCAAAATAACGACTCTCGCGGATGAAGTCGCTGGCACAGCTAGTATAGTAATACAATGGATTATATTCTTACAAGATTTCTTAAATACGAGTCAGTATTGCTCTATTTAAACAAATTAACCTTACCTCGAATGAACTCGTTACAGCACTGCGGCACATCCCTAGTGTCCCAGTTGTCGATTACCTTGCCCAATTCGTTGCACTTCTCTATCGCGAGTTGCCGTCTCGCTCTAGCCGCACCTCGAATCGCCGTGTCACTGTTACAAAGATAATTTATAATAAATTTGATACTGAAACATAAAAATCAATCAATACGTAACAAGATGTATTTACACGCATAATTTGTCTGAACTTACATTTTCGGCCCGTTTCCCAATGCTTTTGTCAGTAATTTCTTAATAGGATGTAAATTGCACTCAACCTGAAAAAATAAAACACATTTTTAAAATACTAAAAAGACACCAAACTAACAAGTCGCCCACTACATTGTGGTCCTTCAAGCCGGACGAAATGGCACAACCATAAGTTGTTATACCTGCTTAAAACTCTCCCTGTCATCGCTCGTGGGTGCTATTTGCAGTAGAGCGAGCACGTAGCTGTGGTAGAGGAAAACGTGAGAAACTGGCGTGAGCAGTAACTTCGGCAAGTAGTATTTGACGGCCAAGCGGAACCCGTGGCCAGCTGTGTCTAGCCTTTCGGAGTACTAAAAAAAAACATAACGTAAGGTATTAAAACTCCAAACAATACTTTCTCATAGAGCTAAGAAAATTTAGGTCTTCTTTATACCTCTGGATCATCTACAATCTTCTGCAGTGCATCTCGCGACTCTTTCCTCGTGACTATATTCGCGTACCGGACGTAGGCGCGAAATTCTTCTACCTCCGCTAATTCTAAAACAAATACGGTAACAGTCATTAATGTATCTAAGGATCTGTGGTCGTATACAAAATAGTATGTGCTGTCGACTTATTTGGTGTGAACATTCAAAAATCAAGAAAATCTCCACACTAATTGAGATATTCAATTTATTGAACAAAGTAGAATCTTGTCGCCACCGAGGAATGTACTATGAGCAAATTATATAGTTAATCAAGCCTGTAAAATAAATTTAGTATTCACTTCACGTACCTTCGAAACAACTCCCGATATAGGGCTGCGGGGAATCCTGGGACATTTCCATTGCGTCCTCCAGATTCCCCAGCAGGGTCACTGTCAACTCGTAGATATCCACTATGTTACCAAATATCAGTGATATCGTCTGAAACAATTGAAATTATTATGGTCATCTTATTAAGTAAAAAGATACTATTAAAGTCGTTTCAATAAAACACTTTTAACCGTTTCAAACGGCATGGTGTAAACAAAATCTAACATATGTACAAAACTTAAAATTAACACAATTAGTACATTAACAGAACCTGTTTAACTATTACTAATAAAATATTTTACTAACCCTCGTATCTGACAGTATCTTCTCAATTTCATCCTTAAACACTCTGATAATAAGGTTCAAATCCCGAAGAAAGTTTCTCTCGTCAGAGAGGAGATCTCGAACCAGTTCCCCATAAGTGAGAGATGCTCTACGTCCTCTATCCAGGGCGGATACTCCAGCCGCCACGCCAGCTAGCTCCGACTCTTGGTAGAACATATCCATTAGGAGCTGGAAAGGGTATATCAAAATATATTACAATAAAATGTTTTGTATGTTGGTCTCTTCACCCACGACCAGCTGGACCGTATTATTTACGGGTTGTGCACACAAAAAGCAACTTAAGTTAACTATGAGTCGATACGAAATTTGTACTTAGAACCTAGCCCAAAATATAATAGAAATGGTTTGTCCAGCAAAGTTCGTTTGCCGGAGACTTATTAAGTAGAAATAAGTTTAATAATGACTATTGTACACAGAAATGTCGCGGGAGACAGCTAATAGACCCACCTTATCAGCGCACATAGCGGTCTTAATATCGCTACTAGTTATGACGAGGTATCCGGACTTCTGCGAGATTTTCTTCACAAATGTCCCAGACAGCCTTAGGACATCAGTGCTTATGTACTCCAATATCCCTACCATGAACCCTGTCACCGACGGGTCTATTTTGTGTGGGAGGACTTCCTGAAATGAAATTTATCCAAATCATAAGAGGGAAAAGCAAATCGTATCCTACACAACTGTAACTGATGGAAGGTTCAAAGTAAGCTATCAGATATCTTAAGGAGGTAATAAGCTGCTTCTTAAGATCGACGGAAACATTTTTCCTGAAACATGCTGCACTTCGTCTGAAAATCTGTATAATAAATGGGTGGTGGGAATATAGAAATTCCGTCCGCGTCCCGTACCACCGTCCACACATGAAAAGGCCGTGAAGCTTAATCGCGTTTCGGTTCCAGTCTGTGGATTTCCGAATATCCAAAGCCGAAATAGGTCAATAGCGCATCTTATGTAGATGTTGTACGGCTGGGCTATTTCATCTACCATCAAGTGAACCTTATTTGTCTATCCTCCTCTATCATAAAAAAATATATAGGAAAAGTTGAAGTAAAGATATTAAAAAGCCGAGATGTTCTTTACTGCTGCAGAACATTGCCAAGAAGTGGCTAGGTAGTGATGTGACGATAACGCTATTGTATATAGTAACACATACCTTTTGGAGCAACTGATGAAGCTTATCGGCCGGTAGCAGCAACTTCCTCCGTTTCTGCGCATCCCTCGCCTCTTGGAGCGCCCATCTGTCCAGTGGAGTTGGAAATGTGTGAGCTACCCGTTCCTCTACGTCCTGAACACAAGTATAATATGAGGAAGGTCATTGTGGATTACTTCCAAAAACTAGTGTTTTCCAAAGCACTGGCTGTTACCTGTATAGTAACTGGAGCTGGGATAGCACATAATATAGACAGTAGGCGCAGGCAAAGAGACTCCACAAACTCCAAACCACTCTCCTCAGCCGTCAATGTCGGGTGAAGGTTTTCCAAGATCTATGAGCAAAATACAATAACGTAATTACAACCTAAGATTCTCTTACAAACTGCTTGCCAGGTTGTGATGTAAAATGGGTTATCAAGCTGTAGGAAAATATGGAATAATAATTTTGATCAGGTAAGCCAAGAAGGAAGATGTTCACCTAAATAAAATCAATTCATAAAATGGCCACCGCCATTTTATGATAAAAGGGGGCTTGGGCCCTATCCAAACTACAGTGAGTTGTTGAAATGTATAAGCTGTCAGTAAAAAATATATAACACATATTTAGTATACCCATTCCTTTTTCTTATGTTGGACCTTGAAGGGATAGAACCAATGATGTGTCGATGACAAACCAACAAAACCGTCAAACAATAATTGTATGATATTAAAATCAATGCTTTTGACTTCCCTCCTGTAACCTCTTTACTAACAGCTGTTATAATATTAAAATATAAAATAACCTATCCTATGTATTATTAAAAATAGTTTGTGCAGGAGAATAGAAAAGTGTTCCTTTTAGACTTTTTAAATATCTTTGTACTACAAGGAATATCCTAAAAAAATATTTGTTAAATCAGTCTAGCAGTTCTTGACTTTAACATTTACACATCTGTATGTGTTTAACTAAGATGCAATGAGTCACTCTTATATTGTAGAATTGCCCTACAGCAGGCATAGAAAATGAAAGATTAACTTCAAAAAAAATAGCAAAATTATAAAAGAAAATTATACATGTTTGTGGATATATGTAATGTAATTTAAGAAGATTTATTATATTCTATTGCAGCAGCAACACACCATTTGGACTGCCGTCATTTACACCATGCACTTTGATTATGTGTCACATAGTCTACTTCAAATAATGTTCATGAATCATTATTATTTACTGACTAATTATAGTTTATAGTTCACATTACAGTACATAATTGCCTAGACCTATAATAGTAAGTGGTTTGTTGTATTTTTAGTATAGTGGTTTCTGGGCTCTAGACTCAAGTGATAAATTTCTGTCGAAACGATTGACTGATCCCATAAAAAGGGAAATTAATTTTTAACACTTAATTATTTATTGGCTAACCTAGTAAAAATTAATTATATCCAATAACTGAGCATGGTTCACATGACTGATTAAACATTTAATTAATTTTATGTTTACAACATATATAATTAATAAATATTTTTTGCTTTAAACCTAAAGCATGGCTGAAAAGCTGTTTTTCCTTTCTTTTATTTATTGTTTGAAACTTGGAAGAAACTAGTCACCCACAACACAGGTTTGCGCTAGTGTGGGGCCTAGGGACTTTCTATCTGCACCATGTATCTAACGTACAATAAAGTTTTTTTAAAATGAAACATAACATTTCATATCAAGTATTTACTTAAAGATTCTTTTTACTTTACATGAATTCAACACTAGTAAAATTTCATAAAACTAAAAGTTACCTTTTCTAAAATTATGTGCAAATAAAAGAAAAAAAGTGACTATTAATTATATCATAATTTAAACTGAAAACCAAGAGGTTCTGTGTGATCCAATGTACCAAAAATTAAATTACAAAACCAATCCAACTTGTCTACTGAGGTTTTTCTTTCAATAAAGTATTCAAAGCAACCCTAATACTTTCTATAAACATTTAACAATTTAGTTATAAACAATTTATTTTATTATTACACCTTTGCTTCTTGAAACTTGCTTTGGATTTTGTTAAATTATATCATAAGTTTAAAAATAATTAATCTACATGTTGAGATATCTTGATTAATGACAAAATAATTACATCTAATGATAAGTTACATTTGACATGGCAAAACCAAGTTTCACCTGGGCACCTTTCATTTATTTAGGAATTTTATCAAATATACAGTATAATACAAAAATTATACAAATGTATATTTAAAAATCTAAAATTTTAAGACTAAGAATACTAAGAGAAAATAACTTATGTATATGCAATATAGTAAAAAACATTTCTGAAACGCTTTATAAGAATTAAATTAAAGAAGAGAATAAGACTGTGTTTGTTATAAGCAAACAAGTGACTGAGTTCACAATACGCTGAGTTGTTAAAAAATCCATAAGTTTGTTTTGAATGTCGTGTTGTATACAAACCTTTCGGAACGAGTTGAGAAATAACCCTTTCCATTTGTCAACATTCTCGGGGTCTTGGAAATCGTAACCCCGGCTCTCTTCCACCGTCGGAAGCATCTTGGCCCGGAGCCCCGCGCGGAACTCATGTAAACACTTTGTCGTTCACACTCTCATTATGAACCACTGAAGGTGGAAACTTCACAGTTTCCATCACAAACAACGAATAATAACAGACGCGTACACGAAAATGTTAATTGTTTAGAGGATTTTTTATTTTAAAAAGAAATCACAAATAAAATTATCTTTGAATTGTAATTCATCTAATCGGCAATAAGGACGCCATTTTCAATTTGTAAATCAGTCTAACAGTGCTGCCATATGTTATTAAAAAATGTGGAGTAAATGAGAGCACACAGTCATTGCAAAAGCATTAAAATGGGAAAGTTATTTTTTAATCCATTAAAAACATACTATGCTTTTTTTATTTTAAAAAGGATTGTTTTTTTTTAATAATACACAAATCATTAAAGGTATATTGAATCTTGTTTAAATGACATTAAAATAAACAGACGGATTCATGGACGCACTCTGCGATTTGATATTTTAATGATATGAGTCTCACAAATCGCAATGTTTTTGTTATGAAATTAAGATAATATAAAATTAAAATGATTTTAATTATTACAGTTAGTATCATATTAAACACGTTATTTTGTTGCTTCGCCGATTTAGTAGAAACGTATGATAACGCGACACAAAAAACGTTTGTTTACAATATGTAAGTATTATTTCGCTTAGATATTTTGTCGTATAAAATTTATATAATTCTTTAACTCCTACATTGTAGAACCCCCTATAATAAAATTATGTTTTTCGATTTTAAACTTGTATAATAATTTTATTATACATAAAAACAATATCAACAATGGTGTTGTTTCCGTCTAAAATAATCAATTTTCGATGGGAAATCCCCGTGTAAAGTCATCCCGAATGCGCATCCATAGACATTAACTCCACAGCCAAATTATGTACTTATTCCTGGTTTCAGATATAATTATGATACTTTGATTGAGATATCAGTAATTAACTCAACAACACATATACTTGATTTTTATGAGGTGAGCTATTTTAAATTTATTTTTAACTTGAATAGATTAAGTATTGTTCACATACACTACAGATCCATAGGGTAACATAACATTTAGAATTTGAAAAAAAATTCTAGGATTTGGTTAACGTAATGTTATTATAATATTTCAAATGATTTTAAACATTTACAACCTAGTACATAAATATATATTGTTAAACCTTAACTCATCCTAAATTTGTTGCAGGAAAATGATTTGTACTCAGGTTATCCCACCCGAGTGCATGTTGGGACCAATGACTCCATTAGGGGTGACAATCCTTTATTTGTGACTGCCGCACAGCAAAAAAGTAAGAACTACCTGTTATGTAATTATATTCAATTTAACAACCTATAATGATCTATTTTTTTCAGGCATTTCATCATGGGAGTTACCATTGACTCTGACAACAAACCATGGAAATTTAGAGTTTGATGACATGGCTAGAACCCTTTGTCCTCATGATGCTGGTCCAAGTAAGATCTTAATAAGTACCAGTTTATAAGCTTCCTTTCTCTTCTCAAACAACTTCGACAAAACAATTATATTCTTTCACATTTAACAATGATGATAATTCAAACAGTATTATTACAGATATTACATCACAAAGTCGACCAACTTTGACGCTAGCCACCAGTAGCCCTAAGGAGATCAATGTGAAAATAAAACTTCGTAGAGTGAATGATTTCTACCTAGAAATAAATAAGGTAATCAACAAGACAACAGCAGTAAGTCGGCGTCAATTTGATATTATATCAGTATATTAAAACCAATAGGTCTATAACATTTTGTGGTTATTTATTTTCAGGATGTCCCCCTTAATGTGACTCCTAGTAGTCCAAAATATTATTATTTCTCTTTTGATAAAGACCCATGGAATGTTTCTAGTCTACAAAAAGGCTTTTTACCGAGGTATGTAATGTATGTATACCTATTTTGAAGTACATATTTGAAGCATAAGAAACAAAGTCAATATTAGAACACGTCGTTGGGTTTTTCCCATGGGACGATAGGATGAACTCATTTCTGTTTCCACTTCACAGATCGGTTATATTTATGTGCAAGTAGTTCTTCAGACTTCTGTGCTATGGCCGACCGAAATAATCTATTGTAGTATCCTAGTATTCGAACTCAGGAACTCTCGCGTTAAACAGTATGCTAAGTAACACGTTTAAACTATATAGATCATATAAAAGAAAATAAAGTAGTTGATTAAGGTAATTTCGACCGTAATCTTTTAATATTAAGATACAATTTCCGTCGCTTTAAAGTGTAAAAAAATCTCAAATTGATATAATAGGAACTATTCATCAATTTAGGAAGCTACAAATTTTGTTTTATTCGTCATATTTTTTTTAAGATTCAACTACACAATACCCAAAAGTGTACTATTGACAATTGACTCAGAAGATGACGTGTGTGCTGTAGTCTCCATACAAAATAATTCGGTAAGTAGTAATTAACTAAAGAGAAAAGTATAAATATTTTTGCCTTGACTGGATAGGGAACTGTAATAACATACTTCTAGCGAATGTGACTAACGTTCGTAAACACGACGTAACGTGTGACGAATGTTATAGAAATTCAATGTAACTACTAAAATCTGTGAAATTGAAATGTTGCCATATCCTCCTTTCCAGTGCCCAATTTTTGACAACGAAAAGGACGTTATGTACCAGGGTTACCACTTTACCATGACCACAAGGGGTGGTATTACTGTGACGGTTAGTAACCATATTAATTTCTACTGTCTGTAGTTTATGCGAGTACACATTTCAATAAAACACTTTAACGGTGTAAAACGCGATATACATGAATTTTTTAAAAGTATGGCTTGACGTTTCGGATGCTTTGCAGCAGCGGCAGCAGTGGTCACGTAGTGACTCAGTCTCACGCGTAGATATATCGCGTTTTAAACCGTGAAAGTAGTTTCTTTGAATTTTAAAAATTGTGAAAAGAAATATAAATTTAAAATTTTAAATTAGCTTTTAACTTTTTACATTAATAATAACACACAATGACAGTTTATTAATTCTTTCTGTTTTAGTGCTAATTAAATTAATTTCAGCAATCGATGTTTCCCAACGGTTTTTACGTGGTGTTCATTGTGAAAGAGAGCGACGAGGAATGTACTGGTGTGAGCGAGATAGATGACGTCACTCTCTTCCGACCTAAGGGCAGGGTGAAGACATTTAGGCGAGTAGAAAGTTTTTTTTCAGTGGGCAAGAAAACAAATATTTCCATTTTCAATTATAACCCTCAAAACTTCTATATTTTTCACGTTAATCAATAACAGATTTTACATCATGGCACCATATTAATTACCAATTGATTTAAGATTTTAAAAATATTTAAGTTCTCGAACGTTAAAGTTTAATTTAATCTTCAATTATTTTCTTAAGCTGCACAGCAAATGGCACTATACCTTACTATGCAAGTGTTAAGGTTGAAGTAACATTGCGCGTGATTTGCATGTATTAATAGGTTGAAAAAGTCGAGGACGTGTAGGGCACGGTAGCTAGATTGGGTTGAGCAACAGCGCCGAATGCAGTGGATGCCGGTTGAAGTACTGCCCTAGCCGCATTAAAAAAACCGTTTTTTAACTTATAACGCTCTTTTGTTATTTAAAGGCTTAAAGTTATCGCAGCTGCTTCGACAAGTGAATTCCTACTTGGCGCATTGGCCTCTCTCGCTCTGATACTCTTGGTGACTGCGCTCGCGCCGCTGGGGAACTTATTAACGTGTCGACATGAAGGTAAGGGATTTACGCTTGTTTTCTTCTTCTATTTCTAGTTTTTCTTTTTTCCACATAAACATGTCTTCTTACCGTAACTAGTTTATTGGAACAAAAGAGCATAAACCGTCCGTTTTGCGTCCTTGCTTTAAAGAAGATTGCTGCAAAGGACAAAGTCTACCTAACATAAAATTGATTGGAAGTTAAACCGTTAAAAGTGTTATATTCAATGTTCACATATAATTTTAATTGTAAATGTAGTTTTAATTATTTCACAGAGTTGATACTAATCGAAGAAACTGCCGTGCCTTCCACGTCTCGCGAGAGCGATGAAGCAGAACCGATGGTGAGGAACAGTGATGGTAAGACATCTAGATCAAAAAAGATAAATATTTATTCAACATCCTTTAGAAATTGAGAAAGTATCTAAAAAATATGAAACAATTGATAGATTGAAGTTTTCCGAACCTTTTAAAAAAAAATTTAACCTCTTCTCGCTCACGTCGGCCGAACAGCCCGAAAGACGTTGATATGCTTTTCTGTTACATTTTTTTATCATAGGATAATAGACCAGCACGATGGAAGGTGAAACACGAGTACTTACCAACCTTACAACACCTACACAATAAGCTCTGTCGAGATATTTTCGCTTTTGATATATTTAACCCTTTCCTTGTAGATTCTGAATCTGACATAGATGTAGAAGTGAAGTCTCTGCCGATGCCGCTTAATGTGGCTGGTCTCAGCCGGCGAAGTGGTACTCACAGTAACAGGTCTAACAGGTAAGATAAGAAATGATTAAGTGACGTCACTGTTGTACAGAGTTCAGGAAAAGTTTCTTATTCATATGCCGGAACACGATAAAAGCAATATGTGATATGTTGCTGACCGAATTAAATGGAATTGGTTGGAGGGGGGGACCCAAGACCATTTCTGTAAACAGCACTAAGAAAAACGCCAACATCTATACTAATGTATAAAGCTGAAGAGTTTGTTTCTCAGATCTCAGAACATCTCAAATTCTTTCAACGGCTATAGGCCATAAGAAGCAACAGCGGGAAATGTGGAAAATTATTCATCTTTGTGGGTTTCCGATGCGTACGCTGAAAAGACGGTTGAAAATATCCAAAGAATGATACATCTTTAAATGATCTAAAAAATGTCACAACACAATGGACGCGACTTAGTTCGTGGGTGTTACCCCCTTAAATATATAAAGATAAAAAGCCGGTTTGTCTTAAAATTACCTGTGTCAGCGACTACGTCCGCGTAGGAGAGTTGTTTTGGGCATACAACCTTGTTTTTTTCACATCTCCTTTTTATCTTTATATCTTTAAGGGGGTAACTAAACATTTTTGGTTTGGCAAACAGAAAGGGGTTTTATTCTTTTAATTTGAGGACACTTACTGAAAGGTCCAGGTCATTCAAAAGTGATGAAAATTTTTCCTTACACCCAACTTTACCATCAAAGATGGTGAATTTGATCATAAATTAAAATAAAGATAAGAAATCCAAAAATAGCACAAGACCCAAATATCGTTTTCGGATTGAATGCTTTTTTAACAGATATTTTTGGAGTGCGCTGACCGTGGCTGTCGTGTACGCGTTACCGGTTGTCCAGTTGCTGTCTACCTATCAAAGGGTAACCCTACCAAGTTTTTGGATCTTTTTGAAAATGCCAGCAGTTGCATTTCCATTCTAGGAATATGCTTTCGTTATTATTTAATTTTAAAATATACAGCGTAAAAAATTTAATCCAAAACAACCTCTAATGGAAATAGCACGACTTATATCCTATAAGACATTTTAGTATATACTAAACTTTGATGTATATACACCAAATAATATTTTTTACTATTTTATAATATTTGAACACCAACTAACATTAGAGATTTGAATCCCGGATAAACGTTATATGTACTTATTCTTGGACAGGACAGAGGTTCGTTCAACTACTGTTATAATCTGTAAATATAATCAACTAGTCAGAGGGAGACAAAAACAGTCTGCCTTATCCCAACATGAATGTTGCACTTTTAGTTAAAAAGCCTGTTTTTAGTGTACGTTTCTTATAGATGGTGTTCTCAACGGGAGACCAAGACGTGTGTTACTACAACTTCTTGTGCGCCCACCCCCTGGGACCGCTGGCTGATTTCAATCATGTCTACTCCAATTTGGGATACATCATTTTGGGCATAGCTTTCATGGTACAGGCGAGATGCCGACATGCGAAGGTTGGGGAAAGTCAGGTAAACATATAGACTATCAATTTCGATATACACTATATAATAAATGAATAAATTTTCCCGATTTTTCAAAATTTCCCACTGTTTCTGCACTCTTATTGGTCGCATCGTGAATTCGTGAAGTTAAAACCTTCCCTTCTTAAAAAGATATGAACATTTGATAAATAAATGTCATTTTATCCAGGAGTTGGGTATACCTCAGCATTTGGGCCTGTTCTACTCCATGGGTCTGGCGCTCGCTATGGAAGGTCTTCTATCGGCCTGCTATCATCTCTGCCCCAATAAAATGAATTTCCAGTTTGGTAAGTTTCTTTTTTAACGTGTCGTTTTAAAACCCTAGTCAAAATGTTTTTTGAAGGGCTACTTGGTAATGATGGCAGTGCTTGGGTAATCCTCACCGAATTCAACATATTTCTAATCAATTTATATTTTTTCTGAAACATGTTGGACTGAAAATCTGGATATTAAATTGGTGGTAGGATCTAAATTGCGTGCCCGGCCAAGTCAAGTTTGATCTCGTTTCGCTTTCAGTCTGTGGATTTCCTAATATTCAAAGCCAAAATAGGTCGACAACGCATTTTGTTTAGATGTTATATGGCTGGGTATTTTACCTACCCCATGGTGGTTCGTTCTCTATTATATTTTCTTTAATCGTGTCATTTCACTTTACAGACTCGTCCTTCATGTACGTAATAGCTGTGCTATGTATAGTGAAACTCTACCAGTCGCGACATCCGGACGTCAATGCCAGTGCGCACGCTACTTTTATGCTACTTGCGCTACTCATGGCTATTGGTGAGTAAATTTTATTAAATTGATCATACGTAGGGGAAGAAATTATTGGCTCCTTATAATCTGGACCCAGAAAGGATAAAAAGGTTTCTTACTTAACCAAAATGTCCATAGAGTTATAGAAAAATGGAGGGGGGCGTTGACAAAATGTGCTTTGGTGACAGAATTGTGTTGTGTAGTAAGCCCTCCATACTTACTTACTTTTATTTTTTTCTAATAAGTACTCGTTTCAGGTTTCTTCGGTATAATGTACCCGAGCGTGTACTTCTGGGTGTTCTTCACGATCATGCATCTGTTCGTGTGTTTTGTCTTCACTTTCAAGATATACTATGTTGGCAGGTTTAAAATGGGTAAGTCTTGAGTGTGCTCTAGCTTCACTATGTTCGGACTCCGGTAATTACATTATCTTTAATTTGTGTATGCATAATTTTGACTTTCCAACGGGCTAGGATAAAAAACTGGACAGTATAGTGTATGTGTAGTGGAAAAAAAATCTCAGCACAATAATTTACACAAAAATTACAAACGAAAGGTAAATTAAAGTAAGTCCATACGTATTTATAATATAAAGTTCTATGAAAAGCATAAGCCACTGTTTGCGATACGGAACAACGCTGATTTTCAGTGGTCTCCGCAGCTTCGAACGTTTGACAGTATCGAAAAAATCGAATTTGATTTATTAAATTCACACCAAGAATATACAAAGAAACATAACAACATATATAGACATTACAATGATGTAAGAAAATACATAAATGGTTTACAATTATCACATACACTAGCTTTGCTGTGGAAGGACATCACTCGGCTGTTGCTGCAAAAACAGATTTGTTGCAGCGCCGATTTTCAGTAATATAATAATAAAATTAATTCTAAGACTAAGAAACAGAGTTTTTATAAATCACTTTAACGATTTAAAACGCCATATATATTAGTTAATCTTATTCGGATATATTATAATTAGTTTAACTACGGCCCGACGTTTCGGATGCTTCGCGGAGTCTCCCCGTGACCACGGCTGCAACAAATCATCCGAAACGTCGGATAACTAATATACATCGCATTTTAATCCGTTAAAGTGTTTTATTTAAATGTGTACTACTCACTATGTGTAATATTTATACAAAAAGAAACGATTATAATCCAACTCCGTCAACACTATACTTATAGAAGAAAAACTCACAGGTCAATGGTAATTTAAAGAAAATCTCCCGTTATAGAGCGTACAATCGTGCCAGGAGCTTGGCGCAGTATCAGACAGCACGGCTGGTCCGCTTTCAAACCGAACTACACTGCGCGTGCGGTTCTACTCGCCATAGCCAATATGGCGAACATCGCTCTAGCTGCTTATGGGTAAGATATATTTGTAGGTTCTTTTTTAATGATGGAGGAAGTCAGACAAGCATCAGGTTTGCTGTCGACCTATGTTGGCTTTGGATTTTCGGAAATCCACAGACAGAAACTGTAACGCGATTAAACTTCACAGCTTTTTCATTTGTGGACGGTGGTTTGTGACCTGAACGGAATTTTCGATATTCTTACCACCCATATAACATCCAGATTTCCAAAGGAAGGCCAACATGTTTCAGTAAAATTATAAATTGAATAATTAATACACGTTGGATCCGGTGGGGGTCAAACTCACGACTCACAAAATCAATTATATACCATCGCAATATCACTACTATTAAGACTTTTAGTTCCCACAAGTAAACTCAAAACTATTTCTAAATTACAGCCTTTACGAGCACAACAAAGATTTCGCTCGTCACTTACTAGCGATTCTAATGGGCAACGCGATTCTATATAACTTCGGTTATGTGGTTATGAAGCTGGTGCATAGGGAGCACATACCGGCTGCAGCTTGGCTGTGGCTTGGCTTGGCTCACGTGGTGTGGGGCGTGGCTGCGTACCTTTTCTTAAGTTCGCGGACAAAGTGGTCGGTGAGTCAAGTGCAAGTTAATTTAAACGCATAAGAAGCTAAAAGCCAAACTTGGGATTTGATCAAAATCGGCATCGGCAAAATCCATCGGCAAAATCCAAGCCCACGTTTGAAAGATGAAGTTACTAAGAAAAAATATTTAACGTTCTTATGTTCTTGCTTTCCCGTTTTATTAATGTATTTGAGCCTAAATATGTCAAAACTATGATGACATTTTTGACTTGTCGGTTTGTTAATTCCAGCAAACGCCAGCGCAGTCTCGTCAACACAACGCCTTGTGCGACGCAATGGGCGTGTTCGATACACACGACCTCTGGCACCTTGCCTCGGCAGCAGCCATGTTCTTCTCATTCAACGCACTACTTATTTTAGACGAGCCACTAGACAAAACGCCAAGGAACCTCATACCAGTGTTTTAGTGTTACAAAATTTGTGACTTCGAGCTGGCAGCACTGATAGTCAAAATGTTGACACCTCTGTTGTTCGCCTTAATTTATAAATTTACAACTTTTGGCGTTTAGAAATTATGAATTTGAAAAGATTAATATAATCGTATTATTATTTAGGTAAGTATATAGAACAATGTAAAGTTTTAATATAATTATATGTCTCAATTAAGTAAAAGGCTTGGCTGTGACGATTTTATTGTTGCCACAAGTGAAAAATAATACACTGTAATGTAGTTACCTTATAGACCACAACAATAATTGTTAAAAAAAGTCTATGAGTGGAAACAATAGGGTAAAGTTATTGTAACCAAAGAGCGATTCCTTGCGAAATGTACCCTGGCAAGTTTAAGCACATTTTTTTTCAATTTTAAAATACTATACTTATGGATATTATATATGAGGTGCTTATAGCTAGTACTATAAAACTAGCAGAAAAGAAGCAGTAAATTAGGTTGTAGTTTCTTTAAAAGAATAATATGTAATTAGAATAAATAAACACCAAAAGCTATCTATTGGTTCATTAAACATATTATTATTAATAGGAGTACATTTTTATAATAAACGCCTCTTATAATACAGTTTATTTTTTCACCTTTAAGATAATTTATTTATTTATTTATTTATTTATTTACATTTATTTACATATACATTTATATAAATATAATTATGTTTATGTAAAGTGTGTCACAAGCGTCGCTTCAAGGAGCGGAGTGAAGAAATTTATTTAGTTCACTCCGCGACCTACATAGTATACGATAGGTAAGCGATGACCTAGCCGTTGTAGGGACAGTCGATGCCCTACTAGCACACTTAACAAATCGCGCATGCTCCCAGAGATTGAATGGATTCAGCCACGCCAGGTGCCGGGAAAACCGGGTAAATACGAGCTTCTCGGGAAAGAAATTTGCCCCTTGTTTTCCTTAAATTTCAGTATTTTTTATAAACTTCCTTACTAAAGTTTAAAAAAAACTGCTTATTGCTTTTATTAAGGTATATAAAAGAAAAGTTGAACAGTTAATTATGCGCTAAATAATAATTTTACAAAATAAAAGCGTACTGAAACTGACAGTTTCTTGTGGGGAATTTGAACTTTCAACAGCTGGCAACACTGATTTGTTGTTTCATTTAGAGAAAAATGGCCTCCGGACGTCAAAACTACTCGGGCTGACAACGAAAACGTGTGATTATTTTCGAAGAAATCGACACGATTTCTAGTGAAACAAGGGCTCAGTGACGCCAGGATTGTGCTCCATCAGCGATCTCCGTAATAATAAGTAAATGGTGGCGAACGACTTACAATTGCACTGCCGAATTTGATGCACAGTAAGTATTTTTGTCCAAATTACTCCACAAACAGCTCTTTATAACGTCGCAATCGATACATTTATGCCAATAATATCAACTATGTGAATGAAACTTATGACCTCTAATCGAGGTCTCGGGATCCTTGATAAAACGATGTGTCATATACTTTAAATAGACTACGATAGATGAAAAATTATAATGCACCAATACTATCAAATTAGTACAAAATACTGGTATTTACCCTGTTACTTTATTTTTAGCCGATACCGAAATATGTTCCCGCTGCAATACAAAGCATTGTTTATAGCTTTACCTACCTTATTATGATTCAGTTATCTGTGCCTACCTATATTTCTCGTTTCATTTCCTGGGTAAAACTTCGTGAATCAGCGAGTCATCGATCTTAATTCTCGTTGGGTTATAAGCTAAGGACATAATTCAAATGGTACAGACAAAATTGTGCATTGAGCATTGCAACTAGTGTCATTAAGTTTGTTGTGAAGACAGTGTTATGTTTGCATACATGATATAGGAACTAGTGTAAACGGTGAAGCCTTGTGAAGGGTTAAGAATGCGAGTTTTCTTGCTTGTTAATCAACAAAATGACATCATTGTCCAAAGGTATGTTTTAATATGTATTCAGTGCAGTGCTTATCATTCAGGATGATTCGTAGATAAAGTCTTGATCAAGTGATAATTGTATAAAGTATGTCGAAATATGTTATTAAACAATATTTGTCTGTGTAGGTACTTTATATCTATTGAGTTTTAAATGAATTCTTAAAATAAATATCCTCTATATATGTACTTGCTGCAGAAACATATAAAAGGAATGGAAGGAAGGAAAGTTTTAAAAATATTTGCGTCTTGTATTCTCAATCTGTATTTTATTGTTCATTACATGTGAGCTGATTAAGAGATAAAAATTGTATAAAAACACTGTGCACATAAACTCAATAACATAAATTCTAGGTTTTATTTATAGTTAAACTGACTTACTTTTTGCAAAACTTGTAGCAACCCCGCCCCTCCCAAGTCAAAGCATTGTTGTTGTTTTTAATTTTCTAACTGTAATTTACGAAAGCTTTTTTTCGTCTTACCAGTTGTACATGCAATTTAAAACTTATTTATTAATTTTGTGTGCACTTATTATTGTAACACATTAAATTTTCAGTTAGTATATGTAAATAAAAGTGTCCCGAGTCAACTTTTGTAGGGTATTGATTCTCATTATTTGGTTATCGTTTCATAGCCTGAAGAAAACAGTGTTGTGGTCTAGTGTTTGTAATATTGTCTTCAGAAGCTTGAAAGCTAAAACCACGACAAGAGACTGACAGTTTAAGGGAAGTGTGGTATTTTAGAGAATCTAAATCATGACGAAAAAAATAATCTTTCAGTGCATTAGTCATTTGTAGGATTATAATAGTACATATTCTGTTGTTACAAATGTTGATAGCCCTACATAATGGTAGTACTAGGGGTCCAGGGTAACGTATATTCATCAATATATTTAATATTAAACTATCTCTTTCAGATGTGAGGGCGGGGGCATGTGGGGCGCGCAGGCGGGCTGGTGGTGCGGAGCGCTGGCGGCCGCGTTGATCGTGTTGCTGGCGCTCTGCCGTCGCGCTGCCAAGCGGGTGCCGACCACGCCGGTGCGGACACAGGTTAGACTACCACATACTCTGCTGGCTTGGCCACCATGCAACAATAATATGAGGCGTCTAGAGCCAGAGTAGCCTAGCTGCAATTATGATTTGACTTATTTATATTTTTATCGTCAAAAACGTGAATCTACTAGAGCACAGTGACCAAAATTTGTTAGGATAATTCTTAAACAAATAATAGTACTAATTCATTTTAGTCTAGGTTAATTGCATATTTTTATTTTCCTTCTTATTGAAATTCATGTTCTTTGTTATTAGGCCCCTCTGCCTCTAGCAGTCCCGTATTATTTACTCTACAAATTACTGGATTCCTTTATGTAAAAAATAATAAGTGTTAGAACAGATTTAAAAAAAGGTACACGTTTTTAATTTTCATGTCATTGAATTGTTTAAGAACATTAAATTTGAGCCTGGAATCAAAATCTTGCAGGTGCACATATTCTGTGGTGCTGTGCCGCACATCCCACGCGCTCCGCCGCCGGCGCCAGCTCGCTGCGCCCGCGCCGTCCTCACCACCGCGCCTGCGCCCCCGCCCCTACCTCTTTCGCAAGCTACTTCTATCGAAGCAAACACCTCGCAGCCTCCGCAAATTGTCATTGTCCAAAATTTCACTCAGAACACAGTCCCCCACGCAACGGAACCTCAACCTTCCAGCTCACAAGGGCCCAGACACCCTACCCCTGATTTCCGCGGAATACCCAAGCTACCTCTTCCCGAGCAGTGGATTCATAAGCGCCCTTTCGACTACAAATACGCGGCTATTCCCAGACCGTTAGCGCAAATTGTTAACACAGAGTTAGGCTCCGATCTGAATCGAGAAACGCGTGCAAAAAAATACAGCGCTACGAGATCGCCCTCTCTCGAAAAAGACGAAAAGTCCCCCTTCATCGCCAGTGCCAAATCCGATAAGACGGACGTATTCGGTTTCGACCCTGACGCCCTCAAAAAATTGTGTGAAAAAGCCGAAGACTCGAAGGAAATGGGAGAAAGGCCGCCTTCTTCCCCGCGCGACGGCGACAAAGACATTTCCCCGGGCAACTTACGTCGTTTTAGATCTGTGAGCACTAGGCTCAATATGTGCAGCGTCTCCGAAACGCCACCGCTGGACGGTCACCAAGAGAGGTCGGAAATGCAAAATTCCCCTCGCTTAATAGAGTGCAGCTCGGCGAAGGAAAAGTCCTCCGCGACGAAATTCGATTTTTCCCCGAAACTTTTAGCTGAAAATATTAGTTCCCCCCGCTTCTATACGCCACCGGAAATGGTGTCACCGATGTTTTTCGCCGAGCCGTCCCCGAAATCCGTGTATTACGATACGGTGAGATCTCCGAAGTTCTTTCCCGAGACTCCTAAAGAGACGGAAGTGCCTCAGTCCCCTAGATTGCTAAGCGATAATATTCGAACAAACGGTATAACCGAAAAACCTAACTCTCCCAAATTGCTCAGTGCGAGACCTAGCCCCAGAGTTCACAGTTACAATAAAGAAAACTTCTTTACATTCGAAAACGTCAGCATTGTCGAGGATAGCGCTCCGAGAATTTCCCCGAGACCGAGAAAGTACGGAGGTAGAAACTCAATCGAAAGGGAGAGATTCACTCCGCCCGCTGTCGATAAAGAAATAAAAAAATACAGACGCCACAATAGTTGTGACACCAATTACAAAAGCGCCGATGTTAACATGCAGAGACTTGAGGAAGCGTCGAAGACGGATTTGCCGACTACATTACCAGTGTTAGAAAGAGAAGTCGTCGACTGCTGTGCCAAATTAGACTCTCTAGGTGTAGACGCAAAGTTCGAAAATGAAAGACGGGAGTTGAGTCCTAATACCAATACGGCACATGCGAGGAGGCAGCGATTAAAATCGATATCGCTAGATTCTGATAACGCAAAAATAATCGAACAGAATTTGGGTCTACCGATCGCTAAACAAATGAAAGACCAAATGAACGAGGCTTATAAGAATCAAGAAATGAGTACTTCCTGCGAAGACGTCGACCGTTTCCAAAAGACGCCTTGTTCGGAAAAACCCTGTTTTAAATTCGACGTCGGCCCTAAACTAGATATGGACACCGAGGAGCCGAAATCTCCAGATCTGCTGCAAAAGAAATGTCTGAGACAAAGTTCAGACACTCAGTCTTTCCTCGACATGCCTCGATTTTCCCCGAAAGAATTTGAAATAACAGTAACGACAGACGACGGCGCCACCACCTCGGCCGACGCGGATTCGAAACGAAAAGGGAAAAACCTTAGAAATCTCACAATTGATTTGACGAGGCGGGACAGCGATTTAGAAAAGGAATTGCTGGAATTTGAAAAGCTCTATTCCGACGCGAACGACAATAAAGTGAGGACGCCCACTTTAAAGATTAAAGCGACGTCCTTAGATTCGTCAGATCCCGATACGGTCTCGGCGCCCCCCAAGAAGTCTCTGGAGGTGCCTCAAAATTCTATATCCGTTCCTAACACGCCGAAGAGACAGCTGAAGAGGATTTTGGCGCAAAAGAATATGAAGCACGACGTATCTGGTGGGAAATTCGGATACAATTCAATTCAGGGAAACGCCGAACAGCGCAGGTTACTGATGAAAGGCCAAGATAGTGGGATATTTCTACGCGAAAATCATGCTAATTTAATGCTATACCAACCCAGTACCTCTCGAGCTCGCACTATGGGTTCGTTCGATGAAAACACCGTAGACATACCGGTAGACGGCAGCTCAGATAGGCCCAGCATTCATTTGGATACGGGGCAAACTTTGGGCTCGAACTTGTTGAACTACAAACAAACTTTAAGCGTCTCCAGTACGAATTTAAAGACGCTTCCGGAGGGAGTGCCGAGCGACGATTTCGAGCCGAGCGCAGAGGACGAAAAGTTGGCAAAAAAGTTGCACAGACGTAATTCTAATCAAAGCCTAATGTTAAGCACGCACAGTTTGCAAGGCTCCAACTGTTCTTTGAGCAGTACTGGCAACTCGTGTCATAATTTAGCCACTGTCAGAACGAGCATCTCGAATTTCAGTCTCAACTCGGACGGGAGACAAAAGAAGCTGTCGGTAGACAGGCGTGACTCGAACGCTTCCACGGTTCCCATGGAGTACGTGACGCCGACCACTCGCGTCATCTGCTCCTCGAACACCAATATATCAGGAGAGACGCCGAAGAACTGTCTATTACAGCGTCGCGGGTCGAACAATAGTTTAACATTGAATATACATTCGAACAACCTCAGCCGACACTCTAGTAATAGTTCTTTGAACAAGGAAGCTAAAATTCAAAAGAAAGGTCTCTTAGAGAGAAGAAGTTCTAATACCTCCCTTACTCTAAACATCAACAATTCGAATCCCCAGTTATCGACGAATAGGGGTTTGAGCATTTCGAACTACAATTTAAACGGCTCGACGTGCAACCTCAGCCGCTACAACAGCAATCACAGCATAGATATCTCCGAGCCTCGCAAGGGGATACTGGAGAGGCGAAGCTCTAACACCTCGTTAACGCTCAACATTCAACCGCAGGAGCCTAGAGATCTGGAAATAGACGAGTCGATCATAGAAGCAAATTTGAAGGACTTGCCTCACAGAGATAAGCACAGGAAATCCCTAAGCACGGAAAACCTTATTCCAAAATCATATAAAAACAGGACGAGAAATCCTACAGACAAGGGGATCGGTTTTGGCTCTCACGATAATCTGTGGTCGGCTTCCTACGATCCGGATTACCCACGGGACTTGACGTACGTGTGCGGCGATCAAGAAAACGAAATTATTTACGCGTTCGGCCGGCAAGAAGACCCTAACTTTCAAGCGAATTTTGTCCGAAATATCACTACCAAGCCGCTCAGTCCGCAGAGCACTTCGGAAGACTTCAGACTGTATTTGGCGAACATGCAGCATTTACAGAACGCAACCAGCGTTTTGACCCGTCAGCAGTTGAGAGACCTAAATGATGTTTTTCAAAATGGCTACTCAAAAGTGCGCTGCGACACTTCAAAGGAAGGGCAACACTGTTGTTCGGGTCGCGTGGAAGACTTATCGAAGGAGAACCCTCAAATGGCGATACCGGAGCCCGTAGTGACTCAACCGTGTTCTGAGTACCAGAAGATGCTGTTGAGGAATCTGCACCAGGAATTCTGGGATATGCCGACGAACTTCCAGGAGAAGCCGATCGTGTCCGGGTCGCACCCGAAGAATAGATATAAAACAATTTTGCCAAATGAGCACTCGAGGTTTATTCTGAGAACTGAACTTGGAGGAACAGAGGGCTACATCAACGCCAATTTTATTAAGGTAATTTTTCAAATACCGGAATACTATTGTGGTAGTAGTATATGGGTAGTAAAGCTTTATTACAATCTTATTTTTTTTTGTATATTTCAGGGGCACGAATACACAAAAAACTGCTACATCGCAACACAGGGTCCATTGCCAAATACAATTTACGACTTCTGGCTCATGGTGCGGCAGAATAATATCGATTATCTATCTCTGAGACCTAACTCGGGTCCCGTCGTCCAAAAGATAATCATGCTAACGAATTTTATAGAAAACAACAGACAAAAATGCGAAAAATATTTTCCCCTCGAGATTAACGAGGACATAACGATAGAGCAACCGGAGAGTCCGGACACCAGCGAAACAGCTCGATGTTTTCGGATAAAAAACCTTGGCATGATAAGAAAGTCCGGGTACACGATACGAAAACTCGACGTTCGATTTACAAGAAACACTTGCGACATCGATCGAAACGAAAAAGATGAAAGCGATCAAAGCAGTCGTGGCGAAAGTGATGAAGATTCGGGAAGTGTAACAGTGTACCACTATTGGTTCCACAATTGGGCGGACCACAAGTGTCCGAAAGACGTTAACGCTTTATTAAATTTAAGTTTGGACATTTTGCAGGGTGACTTGTATGATTTCGAGGTTGATACCGATTTGAGTGAAGAGTTTATGTGTAAATGTGACAGTCCGAAGCTAGATTCGAAGTTTGTGTTCCCCCCTGTCCAGTCGTTGTCTCCCTGTCCTATAAAGATAAACGTTCCTACTCCTTTGAACTTTAGCTCGGATACCCTCTCTCCTCCGACCATCGTTCACTGTTCAGCGGGTATAGGGCGAACGGGTTGCTTGATCGCCATACTGAACGGCATAAAGCAGCTGACAAACGAACAGAAAGTCGATGTCCTAGGAATAGTTTGTAACATGAGATTAAACAGAGGTGGCATGGTTCAAAATTCAGAGCAATATGAGCTTATACATAAGGTTTTGTGTTTGTACGAGCAGGCTTGCTTGCCGGAGTTATAGCTGTAATGATTCAACTAAAATAATTTTTCTTCGGCAAATGCTTTTTGAAAGATATTGTAACTTTCTATGTTGTTTTTACTTCATATCTGAGAGAGAAGCCACCGTGTTAGTGATTTGAGGTTGACAGATGGAGTCTTTAGGGTTGCCATACACTGCCCGGCACTGTAATTGTGAATGAAATATGTTTTATACAAATGACAATTTTAATGACACTAAGAATTGCCTATGGTGAGCTCTTGTATATATAAATTACTTGGATGTGTATTTTTATCAGAGATGCATACCCATTTGGCTATTTGGCAACCCTAAATAATTATGCACCTACCTACATTAATTTGTTAATATTTTCTATATAAAACTATACTATTTTATCATACCAGGAGATGTGGTGTTACGCTTAATTTTCAACTATTTTTCTATTATGACCATTTTGAGATAAAATGTTAAAATACCTCAAAGTGGCTCCTTACAAATTTTCTACCGTGTAAACCTTGTGAATATTATTTTTTAAGTAAGCTAATTTAAAATGGCGGATTCCTACCGCCTTTGTCTATGAGCTTTGACATTAATATTATATCAGTTTATCTTTGGGCATTAGATTAGGGAATAGGTTTAATTAAATCTAAATTTTTGCACAAATCCTATATAATTTAAGTTGAAATTGACATTACTATTATATTTACGTCGGTTGAACACTATCAGAATGTTTCACTGCGGTTCTATACAGTGAGAGGTGCGTTTGTTTACCCTACATTTCTGGTAATGGTCAACATGTTTTTATGTTAGGTAGAAAATATATTGATGTTATTATTTATTTTGTATTTTTTATAGTTCTAATATATTGTGTAAATAATGTGTGTCTAATATATTGATGTTTAGTAAAGCGCCGTGGCACGAAACAGGTACATGAGACAATGTATACAAGAGTCCACTAACGCATTTAAAACCTCAAATTTGTTGGGGCATAATGCGAGTTGACCTTTCAGCGTAGGTATTACCAAAGCCAACAATTTAATACTAATTAGAACTCTTTATGTACAACCTCATTTACAAAGGGAAAACTTATATTAAAAAGTTCAATTGGGTCTCACTCAATATCAATTTTAGGTTTTTTCAGGCAATATCTGTCGTATTAATGTTTACAAAAGTCGAAGGCGTCGCGAAATATTTTGTTAAATATTCCAGTTAATCGTTAGTCTTGTTTCTAGCTTGACAGGGATAAAAGATGCGAAATTGACATACTTTTTAAAATTGCAATTGCCTCATCTATCTGTTTTGTGACGATAGCGTGTGTAATTTGATCGAGTATTTAGATCATAAAAGTTTCTGAAGCTCAATCCCACTTCTGATTTTTCCAAAGAATCCGTTTTCCTTTAAAATAAACTTTTTTAACTATGGAATTTAAGACAAACTGTAAGCAATAAGAACGAAAATTTAATATACAACAGAGCGAATACATACAATAAGTATATACCTAATCCTCTATACTCTATCAGACAGAATTTCCTTTGGGGTACTTTCGTGTAGATTATACGGTACAATCAACTTACTGGGCTTTAAGGATAATATTTGTAAAAAGTAAATATTACAAAACTTTTTATTACAAAAGAAATTGGGAAACGGTCGCTTTTTTAACTTCTAAAAGGCGTTACTATGGCGTAGTACAAAAAGGAATTTACCTAAACTATTTCAATTAAATTTTAAAGTACGTGATTTGGCATTTTGCCAAAAATGTCGATACACAGTCCTTCAAACAAGTTTTTACTCCCTATTTCATTTCAACTTTTTTTTAAATTCAGTTGTATTTCTCCCAATGCCATATAACCAGAAGACTTAGCAGATGATTCAATTGTATCATTAAATCTTTTCAAATTAAGTTCTGTTTATTTTTCACCTTTCTTTTTATTTATTTACTATTTAAATATTATTTAAAAGCGTTAATATAATTGTTTTAGTGATATTTATTTTTTGTAAAAAAAATTTATAAATTTATTGTCTTCTCTAAGTAAAGGAACGCGCAACATCTGATAATATCATTCACTAGTGATGGCGAAACGTCGAGAAACATTTCTTAATTACGACGGCTGAACGGAAACAAAGCTTCGCAGAATGGCCGCGAACGCCTTAGCATTATTGGGTCGCCTTAGATAAAAGAGAGAAAGTTCCAGATTATTTAAAAAGTGGGTTCTTCTTCTTCTTTAAAATTCTTGGGCTGCTTCCTTTTAATACAACCAATGTTATCCAAGGTTGAGGTTATAATTTACCATCGCGTTCGCGAAAAATATAAACGACGCCAGTTTTGGTCGGCCATAATATTTAATTGATTGTTCTTGCATTTCGTTACAATTTTTATGGCGTATAATACATATTTTAAGCCTATACACAATGCCATTTACAGTGGCAATACCGTATTTAATTTGAAACGTGTGGACGGTTTTAAAACTTCCGCGGTCCCCACAGAGACAATGGATCTTTAAGTTTTTATTACAAATATTAAGATATAAAGTTTTACTTGTGAAAACAAAGAGTTTGTCTTCGTTGTTTACACGGGACTCGAATCTGTCATAAAGACTCGTACGGTTTTTAAATGATTACTTGTATAATTGCTTGTTCGAGTTTTATATATTTTTTTGGATCTAAAATCACGATTTTGGTTGGAGTTTATTTTTTTTTAGATTCTATAAAAGGTTGTCGTAGCCCGGTTTTTAATATTTCCAGATTAATCCTATAACTGTATATGGTCTGTCGTAAATTAATAATGTAAATATTCTTCTATGTAAGGAAAACAAGAACACCAAACTAGCTGTAAATTTTAGTGTAATTTTTTAAATTATTATCTTAAACCTAAATGTATAAATGTTTATAGATGTAATAAACGTTTATGAGTACCTATAATTACGTATTTTCTGTATTTTACGAATAACTATGACACATATTTAATATATATATTTCGCGTTTAATATAACGTGTTTTATTATAGAGGCGGACAGACAAGCATAGGGCTCACTTGATAGTAGGCGAATACTAAAATCAGCAATAGGATGTGTCGCCGACCTATTTTGTAATTAGACATACGGAAATCTACTGCTTTTTATCTGGCGCTGGTTTTTGACTCGCAGAAGATATTCGTACCGCTCATTCAATATCCAGATTTCCAGACGAAGTCCAACAAGTGTTCCCAGAAATTAAAAATGGATAAATAGACTATGTTTAAAATAGATATAAACATCTATATAGAAAAAGAGTAATAGGTACTTCGAGGTTTAATTTGTAGCCTGAGCACTAGGTATCACGCTTTGTTAACGAAGGCTCTAAAATAGTTGAAATAACCACGATTCTTAGTCTTTTGATTTTTTTTAAATATTTTATCTGTATTCATATTATTTGACAGATAAAAAATAACACTAAGTAAGTATAAAATATTTTAAAACTGCAACTTAAGTTCAAAACTAAAATAGTGACGTAACCTCTGACAGTTCAACCGATTGTTTACGCATAAACAATAACCAAGTATATAGCTACAAAGTGTTACACAAATGAGGTAATTAAAGAAAAAAACAATATTACAATTCTAAACATTTATTTTAAAGACAACTGCGTAAAAAACTTCCTTTTTAAATATTTTGACTTACGAAGCCAACCGGGGGTTTTTTGTTTACGTTTGCTTCCGAAAAGTTAATGTTGACCATACTAGATGTTGATTATTGTAATTATCATTATAGTAATTGCCGGGGTACAACGTAGTCTGTGGTGTGATTTGAATAACCTCATAAAAAAAAACTTCTTGTCTGTAAACAAATTTGAGTGTCATAATTTAAACAGTGAAACGAACACAGAAATATGTCCGCCCCATGCCGAGATTTTAATGGTGTACATTTTAAATTAACTTTTGATTATTGTATAAGTAATAAATAAACCTGTTACAGGCAGTGGCACGAGTGACAGAAACCTCTCATGGTAAGAATATCGTGACTTAGAAATATTTGTGTGTAGAATGTAAGCATGATCTAATTTACCCATTAATTATTGACCGAGGTAACAATAGTAGTACGTCCACATTTAGTAAAACATATTTACGGTTTAAATCAGGAAACGACCAGTTCTATGAAAATTTCAATTAACGTAATGCCTTGTTAGTGTTTTAAACCGTTTTATTTAATTTTCGATTCATAATACGTGAAAAGTGAAGGGTAGTTGCATTTTTAACATTGAATTTGAGAATTAGTGTATTGGCGTTGAATGAAATCATCGAACTACCTACATGAAGAAATTGTTTTGCATTTATTTACAAAATGGCACTGTTTACGAACACGTTTTTCTCTCTACGGATGTGACATATAAAGTTATGTCTTCGAGTTCAATGCTCCTATATTATAACTAGACAACTAAAAAAAGAAAAAACACATCTCACATTTCCTTGTTTATACGTTTTGTTCTTATAGTGCGTATAAGTCAAAGGGATCTGTAAAAAAATAAGTAGAAGTTATTCGGTCCTATACTCGCAGAAAATATTATCGGAAATTTGAGTATTTCACAATGATTAATTTTTACTTTTGTTGTATGCACTTAATTCACTCACCCACTATATACATATTGTGTGTTATAGTACAGTGAGCTTCCTTGTCGAAACGTAAAAAATAGGACAGGTTCAAAGCATAAGAAAAAATTAACAAAACCAAAAAACATTTTTTATTTTTTCACAAAAACGTCTAATAATATAAATTATGTCTTCATACCTAAAGTAAGTCAGGAACTCGTATTCTCCGAATAGTATTAACTTTGTAAGTGACCACTTTACCCCTAAATTTGATGGGCTATGTCCAAAAACAAAAACAAACGTTATTACCTCAAAAAAGATCGAGGCACCTTTGCATACAATATTAACTTTGGTTATTAATATACAATGTCATTGTTTATTTAAATTGTTGTCATACAGTCGTTAGCCATCTTACTGAATTTTTAATTGTTATACAATTATAAATTAACGTTATTAATTATGTGTATGTTAAGTATCTATCAAGACATTCGACTTGTTTTCAATCACGAACCGACATTTCAAATGCTTTACACTCGCCGAGAACATTGGGTCGTTGTTAACGACGCGTTTTAAACCACTTAAAGCGATAGTAATGCTTTATCTGTGGAGAAATAGCGCCTAACTCTTTCAATCTTTTCATAGTAAATTAAGTGGAGTATAAATTATAATTTTCTGAAATTTGTACTTAATTTACTATATACTTAATATGAAATAGTAATCTCATTTAAAGTTGACTCGGTCACACACTGGTGTGCTTTTTAAATCTATACTAATATATAAAGCTGAAGAGTTTGTTTGTTTGAACGCGCTAATCTCAGGAAGTACGGGTTCATATTGAAAAAATATTTTTGTCTTGGTTAGAACATTTATCGAGGAAGGTTATAGGCTACACATTGCGATGTGACTAAAATTGTACTGAAATTATTTTTGTGTTGCTTAGAGCAATTGTCGAGGGAACTGGGGGAAATGTGGAACAAACGGGAAAATTATTTATATTTGAAAGTTTCCGTTGCGTGCGCTGCGAAAACGGTTACGGTTGAGATGCTTAAAAATCATGTATGAAAGAATTAATCTTAAGATGATCTAAAAAAATATCCGCGTCAGTATATATTTTCGAAGATTGATTTGCAAAAACAACGAGACGCGGACGAAGTCGCTGACACAGCTAGTATGCTACAAAGAGAGAGCTAGGGCCTACTGCTAGAAAAACAACATAGGTCGTATTTTAGAGTTAAAATATTATAATAATTACAATACTTAAAAAATAATGATTCAAGTATTACCTACTTGCTAACTATATTAAGTTTTTATTGCATTTTGCAAATTATACTATAATTGTTGCTTCTACAATTAACTGATATATGGTATATTAGTAGAATTTTATGATTTCTCGCTGAAAATTATTTTTACATGCGCATGATTTGTTGGTTGAGGCTGTTGAATATTTCTTATTGCTTGAACGAGGTCAGGAGTCACCGCGAGGAGTTTGTGACCACTTGTCTAATTTCACTGGAAGTGTTGCAATGTTTTGACTTTTTATAGTGTATTTCTTTGTACTTGAGAAAAGACCACAATAAATATGACCGATTTTAAACCATAGAGAAAGCGATGACCTTTTATAGAGCAAAGTTCATGCCACAGATAAGGGATATTCAAAATCACATTTATGACAACCTCTTTTTTAATTTACATCTCATTATAATTTAACTAGATGTTTGTAACGCTTTTCAGTGATGGTGAATGAGTGGGACTTCTTCCTTCTATTGTCGTTGACTTTGTTTACTTCCCATCTCTATGTAGGTAAATATCAAACTAAAGACTTACGTACATTCAATTCAAATATTAATAAGATTTTTATTAATATAAGCATGCAATTGTGGTACTTACTAAGTAGCTTGAAGGTAGTCATTAGTTTAATATTTAGTTCGTGGTCGTAAACCAATGCAATCCGAGAAAATTACGATTTCGTGTAAATTGTGTTTGTTTACCAATGATGCATAGTTAGAAAAAATACATTGTAATAACTCTTTTATGATATATGATTATAGTAGGTATAATAGATACAAACTCTTAATAAAACAGGAATTTACACATCACGGCTTTTTCGTCTATTGATACGAAACACGGATACGCGGATTTGCGACAATCTTACCTCGTCTGGACAAAAGCGTGATGTATATTGACGGTCGGTTAAATCAGCATGCACATGTAACGGGTATGAGCAAAAGGTTACATGTATATGTACTATGTACACACACATATATATGTTGCGCTTGCGCAAAATTATTTTCGATCACCATTGTCATTCTCTCACGATTTTAGTCAACAGCTGCACGCCTACCCCTGGACTAAGAGAATCCTGTATCTTTTTTTGTGAGTTCTTGGACAGTGCTGTGCTTATAGGCGGATTCCAAACAATTACACCGTTCGAGATTTTAATGTAAGTTTTATTAATTACTAAAGTAATTTATTTATTGTGGTTTAGCCCTTCTATGCTCAAGGGAAACATTTATCCCTTCTAAAAAATTATTATCGATTATTCAATTATTATTAAATTGTAATCATTTTAACGAATGTTAAAATAAAACGTATGAAATTATATGACATCTATACACCCTGCTATGTTCTTCTAAAAAAAATAAACCTATATTCGCCTATATAATAATAAAATTAGGATGAAGACTAGTTCTGGCGCCCTTTCGTGTTATAAAGTATCTTGCTTTTGGTTTAAGTTAAAAAAGCAGGATTTACCGAGTTTCAATAAAACAAAACGAAACGATTTTAACGAAGACTATTAAAGTTATTACACTTTAACTAAGATCCTTTCAACAGTTGTGGTCATGGGGGGACTAAAAATAATAAAAAAACTAGTTCTATAACGAACTTATTTCTGTGTCCGTTTCACTGATCAGTTATTTTACAGGCAAGTAGTTGATCAGATGTCTATGCCCTGCCTGACCGAAACAATATGTTTTTCCTGGGATTCGAATCCCCGACCTCTCGTTACGTTTATACGATTAATTGAATACAGAGGCGGTCACTCGCGTAAACTACATATATATTTTGTTTGGTTTTTTATTTATTTCCCTCTATATATTAAGTAAGTATATTTAGGTGTTTAATCATTGTAATGTTATAAATTCGACCGATTCGAACAGCGCATCTTGTTTAGATGTTATAGGGCGACCGTATTTTACCTTTCATAAATTGAACACAACGCTTCGCTGTGTGTCATAAATAATTGTTTTAAACACATTTATAAGTATATATTTTCCAGTACATAATATATATTTATTTTTACAAAAAATAAATGAATGAAGCACGAGAGAAGAAACAAAAACTATCTCGTTAAACCATTATTCGCTTCGCTTATAAAAAATAAAAGAAACATCGTAACATCAATAAAATAATTAACTGAGTTTCCATTTATTATGTTATGTTATATTAATTTTCACACTCGCGGAAATATAAAAACAGTAACTGCATTGTTCTCGCGACCAGGTAAAATCGATAAAAACTTATTTAACGGTCTTCGTTTCTGCCATCGCTTGGATAAAAATTGACACTTCGTTCGTATGAAATTGCTAAACCTTAAATACCTTCATATATTTTGTGAGCTTAATAAATGTTCTGTAATCTAAAGTTCCAAACAAATGACGCAAGATAACGCCGATAATATTGCATAATACTTAAAAGTTAACAATATGGCTAACAAAATGGTCCCTCGAGCCGGTCGAAACGACGGTTTTCTGCTATAACGTCACATTATGGTACAGTGTATATATTTTACCGTTGTATATTTGTCTGTTTGTCATCTTTACGCTAAATAGCTGAATTGTAACGCGAATAACGGATAACGACAAACCCTTTAATAGAGTCCGGCCGTTGACTTAAAGTAGCGTTTTTATTTCCTTATATTAATAGTAGATTGTGCTAACTGCGTTTGATGTACAGTTTACTACCTACTTTACTATTTAGATCCTTTAGCATATACATCATAAACGCTACTAATGATACATCGGAAAACAACAGCCGCTTGAGAATTTATTCTATTACTACGAGAAATGCTTCCATGTTTCTTCGAAAACAAAGTTTTTTCCTTCCTCTTTTAGTTGATCTCTGTCTATAAATATATAAAATTAGGATATATATTTAAAATATATACGATTAAGATGAAATTACTACAAATTTTCATCTTAATTATATATATTCTTGTTGGTAACAAACGAGTAATAAATAAAGAACCAGATCACCACATATTATGTCACGTTTATATTTAATTGACGCATTGTTACTTAACAAAGTTTTTCGAAGCAATCGATTTATACATAACTATCTGTGTCAGCAACTTCGTCCATAGAAAAAATATTATGGACATCAAAAGTTGTTTGCAAACCTCCTGTTTAACTCTTAACGTTAAGCTGTCCCACGGCGTTGTCCACATCCCGTCGTTCGTGCAAGTTAAAAGAAAGAAATTGACTGTTGGCGACATTTGTTTAGATCAATTAAAGAGGAATCATTCTATTATACAAATTTTTGGGTATCTTAAACAGTTTTCACAGCGTACGCAACGGAAACCCACAAAGATAAATTGCCCCGTTTTTATTCACATTTCCCTGTCTTTTCCTCCAATTAGTCGCAGTGCGATGATAGCCAGAAGATTAGTTTAGCAAGAAGATTTTTTATATTCGATGCAGTAGTACCTACATGAGATTAGTATAAATAAAGCAAATAATGTCAAATTACTAATATAATAAATAAATCAGACCGATCAGTGAAGCGGACTTAGAAATGTTTGCCCCATGCCCCACGGTGATATGGGATTACACTTTATTGGTTTTACTATTATTTTTTTATTCGGCAAAAAGTTCAATACCCCCCTAATTCTTGGAACTCTACTTTCCAGTATTTACTACTAAGTCGTTATTTTTCTTATCAATAAAACATTATTATGTAAAAACATATAATTATTCTATTACAATATATTTTCAACTTATTCCAGCCGTTCGTCCGTCGATGTCACAAAATGGTTTCCGAGTAGCATCGCAAAATGGCTGCGAAAGCCTTACACAATTTATGACTCTCTCTTTTGTTTATTCGATAGTCTATTTAATTCCGCGTTAATTGTGATCAAAAGAACCCACCTTAATTGTATTAATCGTTAAATAGCGTTTCGCAATAATTCAAATGACAATGTCATAATATTTGTTATAATGCATACTAATAGCTGAGTTAACCTTCTATGCTCGTAGTGTGGTTTGATTACTAATACGTCTTCTTTCAATTCATTTCTTTACGCAGTTAATCTAGGCTCATTTTAAATCCGTTAGTTTGTTTGTTTGAACGCGTTAAACTCAGAAACACTTCTACGAGAGGCTCATATTTTCTAGGTTATAAAACATTTGAAATACTGTCTGTAGTATACGCGAGCAGTACACATTTAAATAAAACACTTGGACGGTTTAAAACGCAATGTATATTAGTTATATATAACCGGCCGAGACAATTTCTCGAAAAATCTGAAATCGAAAGGTTGGTAGATAAAAATAATTTCCAAATAAGTTTAACTAATGTACGTTTTAAACCGTCAAATTGTATTAATTCAATATAGAACATTTTGTAGGAAGACAATTTTAACGGTTTTAAACGCGAAATGTATTAGTTTACTCTTTGACAATTGATTTAAACCGCGGCCCGACGTTTCGGCTGCTGTGTAGCGGCAGGGTGTCCCTTTGTCAAAGTAAAATCTGCTATGCCATTCTGCATAGTGCCATCTGTTTTAGGCGTAGTTGGCATTTGGCGAAACTGGCTGGGCTCTTGCAAAATTGACTCTTTTCTTCTTGTTTACGGGTCGCGTTTTAACCCATTAAAAGTGTAATAGTATTTTAAAGGTGTAATAATCGCGTAATGTATGTGATGCGATACTTAACTTTAATATAAACCTCTTTTAAGGACGGGAGACAAATTATTTTAGATTTCATTGCGTGCGCTTATTAAAATGTAATAAAAACCTAGCTGTACCTGCGACTTCGTCCGCATGGGATAGAATTTAGGGCATTCTATATTATTATCTATTTTTGCAAACAACCTTTTTAATATATAATTTTTCAGTTCAAACCAGTAGTTCTTGATATTAGCGCGTTTAAACAAAAAAACTTTTCCGGCTCTTCTAGCTTTATAATATTAGAATAGATGTGTACGGTGGAATTTTTCTTGGTTAAGTTCCAGAACTTGGAGTTTAAGAGTCTCATTAAGGTCGGTTATTATGAAATGGCAGGCTTTTGGTGGATCATCATAATTGTCATTGTAGTTACGCCTCGGAGCCGTCTCAGGTCTAGTGGTATAACCGCTTGACATGCATTTGGGAGATGGGGAGTTCTATCCCCTTTTTAGTCAAACATTTTCCTTCGTCCGAACCGAAATATTCTGTTAACTTGCATATTTTAAATTAACTGACTAGTAAATTAAGGTTTATACCTTTTTAGGGACCCGACAGTTAAATGCCCGATGGTTAAATTATGAAAAATAGGTTAAAGTATGTATCTGATAAAAATTATAAGTAATACATACAACTAATAAGGTTTTGTCGTAAAGAGCTTGAGATGATGTTTCAATAACTAAATACTCTTTGTTTTTAAGACTATAGTCTTCAGCCAATTCCCAGCAAGCGGACGTTAGATCAAAGGTGCTATTGAAACAGAATCGTAGCCCAAATTACGGCAAATATTGGTTTATAGTTTGACACCAAACTCCATAATACGAAGACCTTGAGGCTTGAACTTGGCTATCAAACACACGTGAAGGTTTTCGGATATTTTGACAGATTTATTGACTCGAATTTTAGCACGTGACAAACAAGACATAAAAAGACCTGACGGTAGAAACTGTGTTTGTCTGAACCCACGTAGCTTGTGCGACTAATTTTCAACTGTGTTGAGGACAAATCGTTTTGTATCACACTTTCCGCTTAATTGTTCAGAGCAGCGATCGATTCCTCTAAGAAGGATAATTATCTAAACTAATTTAAAACGCTGAAGAGTTCGCTCGGAAACAGCTACTGCTTCGAATTCGAGTAATTATTTTTATTTTAGTTAGAGCATTTATTGAACAAGGCATAATTATGGACTATAAAATATCGCGCTGCAACTAGGAGGTGCAAAGAGTATTGTGAAAGAAACGGGGAAAGTTCATCTTTGTGGGTTTCCGTTGCATGAACCGGGTATCTTGAACCGATTTCGCTGCGAAAACGGTTCTAGATTACTTTAAATTCCCTACCAGATGAGTTACCCAGTTGAAGATACAGATAATCTTTACGCTAAGTAATTTGGTTATTATAGTTGTGATAACTATGAACTATTGAAGTTACCGCGACAAGTTAATTCAATTTTCATTATTGTCTGTAGTTTACGCGATTAGGACACATTGAATTAAACACCCCTA